CCCCCCCCCGCCATCCTTCATCTCCTTCAGCCGGTGTTGAGGGCGGTGTTCACGTGGGCGTAGTGACGGCGGCGCGCGTCCGACGACTAACGATAGCCATCGAGCGAGGGAATCTCCGGCGACGTCTCTCTCTGTCGTCCTTCATCTCCGGCGTCCTTCATCTCCTTCAGTCGGTGTTGATGTCGGAGTGGGAGAGGGGGGTGCTGTCGGGGGTGGTGGGCAGTGGAGAAGAGAGAGAAGAAAAAAAAATGAAAACAGTTTTCAGAAGAAGAAAATGAAAACGAGAAAACGACTTTTTTTCGTTTTCAATTTTTCACAAAAAGACAAAAACGTTTTTGTTTTTATTTTTTGAAAAGTTTTGTGCCAAACATGTTTTTAGATGGTATTTTCATTTTTAACTTTAAAAAATGTGAAAAATGAAAACGAAAATAAAAACAAATAGGCCCGTAGATTTGCATTTACTGAACAAGGTGTATCCTTTGAACGATTATTAACCCAAAAAAAAAATGTCTGTCCTCGGCTCGTGTGATCAATATTTTCTTTTATTATTACTATTATTATTATTATTATTTTATTATTATTATTATTATTATTATTGTGTCAAGTCGTATTAAAACATATAAAAAGCATATAAGAAAAGAAGGAGAGGGATAAAGAGAGGGGCAGCCGCATTGTCCACATCCGCACCACCTAATCCTCTTATTTCGCCCATTCCCCATCCACCTCTTCCAACCAACCAACGTCACCTGCCCCCTTTTTTTTTTTTTTTTTAAAGACAATTTTAAAAATATATCACATTCCCTCAACTTTACAAGATGTATAATTCTAAACCGTTAGATTATATTAAATTTTTTTTCTTAAAAAAATATTTAACTCCTACAAAAAAAAATGTAAACTTTAGTAGAACTCGGTTAATAATCCCCGGTCAACCTATCACAATTTAAAACAAAAAAACAAAAAAAAATCATATTTTTTAGTAGCATAATTATATTTTAATTTGCTACTAAAATTTAGTACCAAAATATTATATTTTTTCTTAGCGAACATTATTTTTGTAAGCAAAAGCATATTTTTTGCTATTAAAATTTAATTTGATAGGAGAAAGACATATATTACAAAATTTAAAAAACACTTTTTGATGACAAATAATATTTTAGACTTATTATTCTAGTAACATTACAACAAACAATATAGTTTTGAAATAACAAGATTATATATTACTCTATGTGGAACATATACTTCATTAACAATATCACATATATATACACATGAACATGTCTCTTGTTATACCTACACAAAATAATTAAATTATTAAATAATTGTTATACAAAATATATTAGGATGATTGTTAAAAATGATAAAAATATGTAATATTACGACATGTAAGAAAAAAAATGCTAAATGTGAAAAATTGAGCAAAATAAATTTTTGTCCAAAATTTAATTTAAAAATGCAAACCACAAGTAAAATGTAATATCCACGATGAAAATTTGAGCAAAAGACAGATTTTTATGCGGGGAAGTGCGTTTCTTCTTCTTCTTTTATTTTTTTTTTAATTTTTTTAAGGATGGTTTGTTACTTTGTTCATTTATTTGGTGGTATTTAAGTATTTTTCTTTAAAGAAAATAATGATCACGTGATGGGCACGGGATAACAACCATCTAATTTTGCGTAAATTTTAATAAACCTGTAAAAATCTGTTTTTTGAATTTTGGTAGTGGAAAGTGTGTTGTTGAATCGATCAGAATTGTTCGGAGAAGTCTCTAGTTTCGGAGATGTCGATGGGAAGCGACACTACTTGGGTCGGGAAGAAGCCTCTTCGACGGATCGGAGGAATGTCCGATGCTCTCTCTATCGCCTCCGATCTTGGTTTCTCTGTCTCTCCACCTCCTACCCAGGTCAATTTTACCCTTTCTTTTCCTCAGTTTGAATGTGTTTTTCACATTTGAACTTTTTTATGTTTTCGGTTATCATGATGAACTATTGAACTCGACCTCATTTTGCTTCTGAGAAAAGATCAATTTGATTGTGGTCTGTATTTTCAAATTTTGGGTGTGCTTAAGGTTTGTTATTTGATTAAAGTTCTAATTTTTGGTGCCCAATTACCATGGAGAAGCAATTTGGGTGCTATGGGTTTAGGTCGTGGAAACGAATTTTGATTAGTCTGTTGGAGAGTTTTGTTTGTATGTTTGAATTGGCTTTGGCATAGAAACGTTTTCCTTAGTGGCAACTAAGCAATATGAAATGTTTGAAAAGAAAACGAGATACTTTTACATGTTGTGATAGTTTAGTTTTTCTTAATATATATATATATGTTTATATTTTGGTGTATATTGTAGGAAGCAATGGCATGGCAACATTAACTATTAGGTCAATCATGTAATTGAGTTTGTCTTATTGTCTTGTAGGAAGAACTTCAGAATTTAAACACTAGCACTGGGGAAAAGGGTGATGACTTAATAAGGGTTTTAAGAGAACTTACCACTGTTCAAAGAAAAATAGCAGATCTGCAAGTGGATCTTCAAGGGAGAAAGGTAAGTTTTTGCAGTTTCGAATTTCTCTTTTTCAGTTTGCATTACGGAAGTTTTTGCTAACTAGGAATTTTAGATGGTAACGAGATGTAGCATTCTTTTTGCATCATACTGGGTGTTATCTGAGTTCATGTTGCGATCTTTTTTAGGATGACAAAAATGTGGCCCATCTGACTCATGTAAGCGAAATGCAAAAGAAGTGCGAAACATTGGCAAGGATTACTACTATACTGAAAGATGTAATTCAAAACAAGGTAAGTTGTTTTCTTTGGTTTTTTCACCTTATTTTCTTCTTTTCACATTAAAAATATACGGGGTATTTCATTATTTTATGCTTTTACATGACTTTGAGCCAAATAGTTCCACCAGGCTCTGTGGCATTGCTACTTGATCTCAAAGAAATCAATATGGTTCTGAGTTCTATGTTTATAACAGAATCAATTGTTTCTTTATTTTCCTCCAAGATCGAGTTTCACTCCTTTGTTTGGAGGATGGAGGGAGGGTGAAGAAGGGACAACATTCTTAATCTTCCTATGAATTTATGAAGTACTTTCCTTTTTCTAAAATGAAAAAATTCTAATTCTTGAGGCCTCCTGATGCGGTATGTTCTTGTTTGCTGGTAGGATCGCATTATAGCTCGTCTTCAACAACCATATTCTCTAGATTGCATTCCAGTGGAAGCCGAGTATCAGGTTGGTTAAACATAAAGTCCATTTATTTTGATAAGATAAAATAGTAGCATTCTATTGTGCCAAGTCTGCATTCTAATGCACTAAGAATGTTCTCTCAGCTTATGGTATGTTTCACTTTGGTTTATCCAGAAACAATTCTCTGAATTTTTGATGAAGGCTGCTAGTGATTACGGGGCCTTGACGTCATCCGTTGCAGATTTCCAATGGAGTCAGACATTTAAGGAGCCACCTTCAGTATGGGGGGTATGCATTTAGAAGCATTTCATATTTTTTCTTTATCTTACTCTCCATTAATTAGAGCTAATTATATATGTCGTTTGTTTTTTGACGAGTGATCAATTGTCAAATTCAATATCCACAACCATGAACCTATTAAATGTTGCTACCAGTATTGTTGACTATTGAAGGAAAATTTTGTACTTGTGGATGTCCATAGATTAGGACCCCCTATTATTAGATGTTAAGAAAGCAAAAACGGGCCTCTTCTCTTTTATGTTTCCCAAAAATGCACTGATCTGCCTCAAAAAGTACTCTTGTTGATGTTGAAATGTTGGCACCTGAGCGAAATCCTTCAAAAAGATGCACTTATAATGCCTTTGAACTTATAATTTCACTGCATATAATAATATTGGGTCAACGATTTTATTACTGGAAACCTTCAACTTTCTACATGCTTTAGAACTGAAATAGATTTTCCCCGAAAACTATGATATTGTTTGTCAAAGTAAAAGGATAGTATTAGTACATGTAATGGTGCGACTTGGGTAATTGATGCAGGAAATGCTTCGTCCGATTCCCATTGCTTTGGCATCATGTACCCGGTTTTTCGAAGCAATGTCTGCAATGAGAGAATCGTTTGCAACACTTCAAAATCTAAGAGTGGGTCATTCTGCTCCATCCCTGCCTGCGACACCAGCCAAGGATTTCTCCCTAAGAGTGACAGGAGATTCCGACTCCGCCTCCTTGGAGAACCGAACCGAGCTGCGATGACTTAGCCATCAAAAGCTCCAGAAGGCAAGAAATCGACCAACAAATACAAGATGGAAGTAATCAGCCAGGTGACTATAATCAGGTGGATGGAACAAGCCAAAGGAGATTGTCTTGGCCTCCAGTTAAAAAGAATGTTATTTAAGAATACCAACTTCTATTTTCAATGGTGTTTGTTATTTTAGCTTTTACGAGCCTGTATTCCGCGCGTTGATGCGGAGTACAATATTGTATTATATAATAGCTGTATTTAAAATATATTCCATAATATTTAAAGTTATAGTAAAAGTAAAACGAAATACAAAATAAAATATATTGGCATAACTCTAAAATAATAAGGGCAACATCAATGATAATCATATATGTAATAACAATTACTCAGCTAACAACAAATGATATATAATATCATCATAACCGGAGAAGAATAAAATGTTTGGATACAAGAAACTGAGTTTGAAAATAATAAGGGCATTATGTTGTAATAAGATTTAGAACGCTGTGTAAATATCAAATGTCAGTTAATAAATTAAGAATAACAGCAAATGATCAAAAATACAATGAAGAAGAAAAAAGAGTAAATTGTAGAGGAAACAAACGACAATGTGCAAAATAATATCATAGACAAAAGCAGTTTTTATAAATACAAATATATAGTAAAATTAAAACAAAAGACAAATTAAAATATATTGGCATAAGTCCAAAATAATAAGGACAACATCAATGATAGTCATATCTGTAATAACAATTATCCGGCACATATTAACAACAAATGAAATATAACATCATCATAATCAAAAGAGAATAAAATATTTGGATATTAAAAACCAAATTTTTGATAAAGGAAGACATTATATTTTAATAAGATTTAGAAAATTTTGTAAATATAAAATCTCAGTTAATCAAATTAGAATAGAAGTAAATGACTGAGAGTTTAGAGAAGAAAAGAAGTAAAGTACATTATAAAATATTTCATATAACGAACAAACATAACATTATCAATTAATATTCTAAAACAAATCAACCAAAGTAATTTGAAAAAGTGAATACCTGATTCAACAAACCACGGGCAAAACGATAGATCAAAGAAAGCAACCAAAATTATTAAGCAGCAGAAATAGAGCAAAGGAATATAAAGGAGGCGGTAAGGTTAGTAAGAAATGGGTAGTATCATTAAGGTCTTTAAAGAGTGAAAAAGCAGAGAGAATAGAACATGATAGATAATATTAGCTGAAAGACGAAGACAAAGAAAGAGTAAAAAATTAACATACAATATATATACAGAAAGTTAATAATGTTTTGCTTAATCTCGGATACAAATCCCTGCAAACAGAAAGCAATAGAAGTAATGATTAATTAACAACAACCGTCACACTGATGAAAACCACCGTAAAATGTAACCAATAAATAACAGACAGTTATATTTTGGATACATATTATATAAAACGAAAAAATAAAAAATACACATGTCAGAATAAAAGATTAATATCAATATTATTACATTTAGATCACGACAAACAGGTAATAGTATTATTATTATTATTATTATTATTATTATTATTGTGTTCAAGTCGTATTAAAAAATATAAAAAGCATATAAGAAAAGAAGGAGAGGGATAAAGAGAGGGGCAGCCACATTGTCCACATCCGCACCACCTAATCCTCTTATTTCGCCCATTCCCCATCTACCTCTTCCAACCAACCAACGTCACCTGCCCCCTTTTTTTTGATTTTCTAAAGACAATTTTAAAAATATATCACATTCCCTCAACTTTACAAGATGTATAATTCTAAACCGTTAGATTATATCAAATTTTTTTTTCTTAAAAAAAGATTTAACTCCTACAAAAAAAAAAAGATTTGTATACTTTAATAGAACTCGGTTAATAATCCCCTGTCAACCTATCACAAAATAAAACAAAACAAAAAACAAAAAAAATCTCTTAAAGAAAAGACAAAAAAACAAAACAAAAGAAAAAGGTAAGTTTTTGGGTGTTAGATAATTTGAGACGGATATTCAAGTAACGTCAAAAGGCCGCCTACATATGTTGCCAGAAAAGTCCACCTACATATGTTGCCAGAAAAGTCCAATTGGACGACTAACTTAAAACAGATAAGAGAACCAAGAAAGCATAATGAATGAATCAGCACACAAACACACATATTAGACAGAAAGAAAGATAGATAGATCAGGGCATAAAATCACAGAAATTCCATTGTTAATTGTTATCGTCCAAAGAGAGAGAGGGATAAAGATTAATCAAATGGAGGAGAAAGGAGGATCTTCATCAATGAATAGGAATAGGAATTATAACATAAAAGGTAAGACAGAAGCAGTGGATGTTCCTCTTCATTTAATTGGTTTTGAGATTGAAGAGTTGTCTCCCAACAAGGTCTCCGGTCGCCTTCCCATCACCCCCAAGTGCTGTCAGGTCAACCCCTTCTTCTTTTTCCTTTCAATTTACTCTTTTATTCTTCAATTGGGATTCCTTTTTTGTTGTGGAAAAAATTGAAGAATTTTAAGCATACTTTTTGCTGAGACATGATTATATGTAGATAGATATATGTGTGTGTGAACAAGGCAGGGCAGCCATCAGAGGTGTTACATGATGCCATTATTTATGTCTGTTTGTGATTATTGATTCATGATCTTCAGTTTTTCTTGTTTATATGGGATGTTTTTTTCATTAAAAAACAAAATGAAGAAAAGAAAGATTAAGGTTTTGCTGATTAAGACATGGCATTAAATTACGTATATTATGTTGAAAAAAAAAAAGAGCAGCCGTTCAAGGTGTTACATGGAGGAGTGTCGGCTCTGGTAGCGGAATCGCTGGCGAGCATGGGAGCTCACATGGCATCAGGGTACAAAAGAGTGGCTGGAGTTCAACTCAGCATCAACCACTTGAAGCGCGCCGAGTTGGGAGACCTTGTTCTTGCTGAAGCCATCCCCATTAGTCTCGGCAAAACCATCCAGGCATGCCCTCCTTTTCCTTTTTTCATATCAACATTTTTTGCTTGACCATCAATGTACTTACTATATAATGAATCATGATGAATTACAAACAATTAGCTTGTGAAATTAGGCCAAAAGGACTTGCTTAAAGAAATTAGGGAGTTTGTGTGTTGTTAGCTAGGTTCTTATCTATATTCAGTTTGATTTTTTTTTGAATTAGGACTCTCTATTATCTGCTACTATCGGATTTTTATCTATTTAGCATTTTTATTTAAACTAGGATTCCTAATAAGACTAAGGTTGATTTGATCAGTCTACAAATTATAAGGCTTTGTCCTATAATTTCAGACAAGTTTCTTCCGTAAGTAATATAAAAACAATTGGGATGTTCGATTATCTTCCATAATATTATTTATAATTAGAGATGTTACTTTCTGTGGATGCTTCTATTTTGAATAGGTGTGGGAGGTGAAACTGTGGAAGACCAATCCTTCAAACTCGGAGGCAAAATCGTTGGTATCGTCATCAAGGGTAACTCTTTTATGCAATTTACCAGTGCCGGGGCATGCAAAAAACGCAGACGAAGCTCTCAAGAAGTATGCAAAGCTATGAGCCGTACATTGTAATATTCATTAACCATTATGTAGTTGAAGATACAAGGCACAGATTCCACATTCACCTCAAAGGTATAACCTGTAAGGTGAATCTGGCATTACATTTCATATCCTTCTCATCAAAACAAGATCTTTATAACTAGAAGAAAATTGTTGAGCTATTTGTTTATTCGTTAATACATACAATTGAGAACGAAGTGCGTAATTTCTTCGCGGCTGTAATTTGATGGTTCTCACAATTTCCACTGATCAAGAGCACACAATTCCATTTTCAGACAATCATATACCAATGAAAATAAATTCATTTAGTCTCCACTAGGGTAGTTCATCCTTGTTACTAAAAGAGGAGGACTTGCTGCTTCTATGTTTCTTCGAGAGGGGACTAGAAGAGATCTTCTGCCTGATAGTAGAAAATGAACACAACGTAAATGAAACAAAAATAATAATAATAATAATAATAATAAAAAGCAGAAGAATCAAGCAATTATTTTTTAGCTAAATGAGGTATTGTTAACCTGAGAGTGGCAAGTTGTTGGGTGAGTTGGTTGATCTCCAGCCCGGAAAGTCTGAGAGAAGTCAAGGTCCCGGGTACTTCTTGCGACACTACTTTAGAAAGTTGCTCCATTGAAGCTGCCAAATTTCTAAATGCCTGATACAAGACTACATGCGATTTAATAGTTTCACAGATGTTTCTGTTTGAGAGTTTGATTTGAGTTTACACATAATTTACAAGAAATAACGCTTTCTAGTCTGGCTGAATACGTATAATAAGGCGTACGAATGACCGGAATTCGTACGGCTAACTCAAGGGACGTTACAGTTTTAGTGCACAATTAATTAAACAAAAACTAGATGCATATGATGAAAATTTTCAAAAAGACTAGGAATTTTTACCTTAATGGTTGGAATCGAAAGTAGAGCAAGGGAGAGAAGCGCCCCAAAAGCCTGCACTATGAATTAAGTCTGAATGATGATTGAGAAGATTGTTGAATACAAACTATTAACTGTAAACTGTTAACTAACCATGGAGAGGACGAAGAGGAGAGAAAGAAGGGCGATGTAAGGGTGAGGTTTTGGTGGAAGGCTTATTACTCTTTTGAGTGGTGTAATGGGAAGAGCAAGAGCAACACGATCATCACCATAAGAAGAAGAAGAAGAAGACGAGGGAAAAGAGAGGGAGGAAAACAGAGGAAGGCGAAAGCGCGAGGTGGGACGGGGAAGTGAAGGACAATGGCCAACCACACAAGCTCTCAGAGGAACTCCACAGCACCTTTGCATTGCTCTGCTTTGCTCTTTAGGCCACTTTAGTTTACTTTGCGAAATATATACGTATGTATGCTATAATAGTCTTTTTACTTGAAACAAACTTGCTTAGTCCCTAAAAAGAATGGTACTTGAACATCTAAGCAAAATTCTTTTTTTTTTTTTTTTTTTCCTTCCCAACACTAGAAAGTAGAAAGAGCTGGTTCTCTTTTATTCATTATTTTGCTAAGAGAAGGAGAAGAGCTTGTTCTTTTTTTTGGATTGGTAATTTCCAATATTAGGAAATTCTGTGGTCAGAGAATTTTGGGGATTATTAATATTTGGCTTAAGTTAGAAAGAATAAGAGGAAGCAAAACTGGTTGTTTTAAGGCCTCGTTCGTTTCGCTGATTCGAGTTGAGATGTGATTTTATTTTAAAGTTTTTTACTGTAGCAAAACTTAAATTCTAAACTCGAATCAGTGAAATGAACGAGGACTAGTATTAGGTCTAGTAATTTAAAATAAGGAAAATGTGTGGTCACAATTTTTTTTTTTTCTTTGAGAGTATGTGGGGGATGATAGTCATAGTCATAGTCAGAGATAGGAATGAGGTGGTTGTGATCTGCGTCATCTTCTTGTGTTTGGATATAGACATTACTTCCCCCATAACGTGGATAATGATAGAAGTTCATGACTCAGATCGGATTAATCTTTTTTTTTTTTTTTCATATCTAAGAGTGAATAATAAATAAATAACGGAAAAGTAAAAAGGAGTCAAATAAGGGAGGTGGAGAAGAAGCAGCGAAGCAGCCCCACTTGAATTGTATGAACATGACGCGAAATGTATTTAAAGGAGAGGAGTACGTTATTTGTTTTACACCATTCAATTCAATTCAATTCAAAACACAACACCATCTTCATAGACTATAAAGTAGAGCCTCAAAATCATAACGGTCTCTCTTCCAGTACTTATTTCCTTCTCAACTATTACTTTGTTCTTTGGCATTTTGGCATTTTTTTCCCCGGGTCTAGTCTTTTAGAGTCACATGGAATCTAATGGTAAATTCCCTTCCTCTCTTTTATTTCTATTTTCCCTTCTATTATTATTGTTATTATGATCTAATTATTGGTACGAAGCAGTTTTGTTTCAATACTGTAATTATTATTTATGCTTTTATTTTTATCTGAAAGCTAACTATAATTCCGTGGCAGTGGTAGAAACCAAGGGTGGAACTGTTTCTGTAGCTTCCGCATTTGCTGGCCATCAAGAAGGTAAGAGAAGAAACTGCCACTAAGAAACACAAGTTTGTTTTCTCAATTGTATTTACTATTTTTTGTGTTTGTTGGCGTATAATGAATATTTGTTATATTTGGTTTGGTAATTGGTGAATCCATGCATTTGCGTTTGCATTTGCAGTTGTAAAGGATAGAGACCACAAATTCCTAAAAAAGGCAGTGGAAGAGGCATACAAAGGAGTTGAAAGTGGAGATGGAGGGCCTTTCGGAGCAGTTGTTGTGAAGAATGATGAAGTTGTTGTGAGTTGCCACAACATGGTTCTCTCCTGCACTGATCCCACCGCCCATGCCGAGGTCACTGCCATCATAGAGGTCCCTTTTTGCCTCTCCCAGATTACCCCCCCTTTTTATTTTCTCACCACCTTCTTTTTAACGACGTTCTTTCGTAAATCATGGATTTACCGTATAATGATTTCGCTATACCAGGCATGTAAGAAACTGAAGAGGATTGAGCTTTCTGATTGTGAAATTTATGCCTCCTGTGAGCCTTGTCCTATGTGCTTTGGCGCCATCCACCTTTCAAGAATTAAGGTCATTATTTCTGTAAAACTAGTCTGTTTAAGTCGTAGAGCTTTTGGTTTGGAGCTTATTAACGTTTACCATCGTGTGCTTCTTTCATGCCAAACAGAGGTTGGTTTATGGAGCCAAGGCTGAAGCAGCGATTGCTATCGGGTTTGACGACTTCATTGCGGATGCATTACGGGGCACTGGATTCTATCAAAAGGCTCAGTTGGAGATCAAAAGAGCCGATGGCAATGCAGCCATATTTGCCGAGCAGGTCTTTGAGAAAACAAAGGCAAAGTTCCAAATGTACTGAATTTCAGTTGCATCTTTTGTTATGTCTACTACTTGACTGGTTTTGAAACTTTTCTTGTTTGTAAGTTGTGTGTAAATGTCTTGCACACTTTTTAACCTTGAAATGTTGATAGTGATAATGAAAGCTGTGTTTTCTTTCTTTAAAGCTTAGAGGCTAAATAGATAAACTCCTAAAGACGTAAAATGTTTATTAACTACTCATCATTTTGCATATAATTACTGAAAGCCAACATTGGCTGTTTCTACAGAAAAGGCCATTTATTGTAGCTTAACTTGGAGTTCACTTGTCCTAACATGATTAGAAGCCAATAAGGACATATTATGTGCACAATCCAGTGAGGCTTTCGCCCTTCTTCCATTATACCTTTATAACTATTTACAACGTCCATAGCCCGGCTTATTGTTAACCCGAATGGTATTATGCCAGAAATGTGGGATCTTCAAGAATTGTTATGCGGATTTTGCGAATCCTACTCGGAGGTTTCCAAAGTCAAAAACTGTGTGGTATGCTCCCAAGAACAGATCTCCAAGGACCCTGCAAATATATACTAATGATGTAACTTCATCTATGAAGCTTACAAAGTATAGATCAATTATACACATCATGAATAAACAGTTTCGCGAAGCAACGTCAAACTACATTTTTAACTTGTTAGTGGAGAAAAAGTTAACAGAATACCACGGAATTTTGACACACATGTTTTCATGATGTCCAAAATAAAAATTTTTGTTATGTGTATTATTCCTCATTTTCTGATCTCTACGTGTTGCAAGAGCATTGGCACCCACGGTGTCATTACACATATAAACTTGTATTCTAGTTACTTACCATAGAGGACCTTGTGGAGAAGGCACATCCAAAGAAACAAACCCACTTATGCAGAAAGTAGTGCCGCCTTCTGCGATTCTAAGTATGTACTGAAACCCAAAAAACATGTCAAGGGAGTGTGTCAATTGAAATCAACACGCAAGGTTCTATCATATCGGTATATATGTGTTAAGAAGGTGAAGGAACAAATGATAATAAAATTCACACCTGTTCAGGAGATAGGGAGAAGGTCTTGTTTCCAATTGTGAACGAAATGTCTGGAAGGCTTCCCATGTTATCGCAGCTGATAAACGGCTTTCCTAACGGATTTGGAAGCCTCTCACACACCTTCATCACCGAGAAAAAGGGAAGATTCTTAGTGATAATGAACAAGTTAAAGAGTGAAACTTTAGGAAGAAGCCCACCTCATTTGCAAATTTAAAGACTTTATCTTTTGTCTTTTTTTGTTTAAGTTGTACTTGAAACCAGAAGACAACCATCTCGCAGAAAGTGCATAAAGCAGTCTCTTTGTTAAATGACCCTTCTCCAGTTCCATTGCGAATCACTGTCTCAATGTTTTTGCTGCAAAATTTTGAAAATAAAAGTTTCTGAGTCTTGTTATGATTCTTGGAATCAAAATTTCCACCCATCAAACCATAGAAGAAGAAGAAGAAGAAAAGAGAGAGAATGAAAAATGATCACCTCACATAGTGGGATCCATTATAAATACAGAGGCCAATATCCACACAGACTACCTCAGGTCTTAACTGCAGACACTGGAAATTATTCAAAAACTACACTGATTCTTTTTTTTAATTACTGTAAATAATAATAATCATAATGTCAAAAGAAAAGATTGAAATGAAACTACATACATACCCCTGATACCAAGTATTCCCATATCAAATTCCCATAGTTGGAAACCACACTTTTACATTCCAAGCTCACAAATCCTTCTGCTCCAATGGCGTGGTTTATTTGAGCAACAATTGCCTGAAACACAAGAGTGATTCAACGTTGCATGGCAGTTTTCCATGAAGGATGAGAGTCGGAAGAAATAATTATATAACGTTTGAAGTATGAGGCATGAATCGTACAGTTGGACCCGCGAGGAAGGCTGTGCCTGAATCCACAATGGCAGCACATCCAGCAAGGCACAAGCCTGAAAAGTTCAAAATTTTGCTGTCATATATGTATATGTTGGTGAATGGAGTAAATACTAATTTACTAACTTTATGGGTAGGAATCCTAGTAGCTTTGTACTAAAAATGTCCTTGTGCATATGATTATTGGTTAAAATTTAGTAAGTAGCAAAAGTAATTTTGTGATTTATTTCAATTGAAAGGGAAATAAAATGAAGTAACTTGGGATTTCATGTGGACCCCTCCAAATTAGCTTTCCTGATTTTTAGTAAACACATGAATATGGGAGAAGAAAGGAATACACTCCTCTCTTTCCCATTCATGGAATTAAAACATTTCCTAAAAATTGAACTCTAAGATTTGCCTTTTATAGAAATTATTATTCAACACTCGTCAAACTGAATTCTTCCACGGCTTCAAGAAGCTAAGTTGATTCCTACAACTTTTATGCAGAGTTTTTCAATCTCACTGCATAAAGTTCCTTTATCAAAACAATTTGGACAAAGAAAGAATAAATTCATAGAAACAGAGAAAGGTGATAGGACCTGTAGAATCGCCAGCAACTAGAACATCTCCCATCTGAATCTGAAAATAATCAACATGAATGAATTAAAATGTAAAGTGTTGGGATTTGTTTCTCAAATTATGTATTAATTTAAATTATTTTATGAATGACATTATTTTGAGAATGATTGGGTGGTTGATTGTGTTTGAGAATAGATGTGCAGTTGGCAAATTCTTTATGAAAGGTTTCTGTAAGATCTGAAAACTTAATTTAGTTACTGCTTTTGAAAGTCAACTATTGATCTAAAAATGATAAATTAATAATTGGTGATTTGATTGATATTTGATTGAGTTTTCGTAGCTAGATGATATTTCTCTGTCTCTTAGGAATGTGTCCAGATTCCTATATCAGTTTCAGAAAGGTTTCAAAATTAGAGCAGATTGATTCGGACTGGTTTTGAGAAAGTTGACATTGACAGGTATGTTGCAGTTATTGTTGCAACAAGGATCTGCAGCAGATTTAGTTCAGCGAATTAATTGAAGAGGTCGTAAAGCTGATCACATTTTGCTTATTTATTCAAAGAGTCTCTCGTGTCTCTGGATACCTTTTGATTGGTTTTGCTGAGTTGTGAGAAAGGTGAACACTTGTATTTAAGAGATATTATTTGAGTGTTTTTCGGGAAAAAAACTTAATTGGAGGGATTCCAATGTTAAAAAGTCGAGGGGATCTCACTGTTCAAGTACATTAGGAAATTGCAAGTTTATATGCATCTTCTTAGAGAGAGAGTCTCGGGTAGATTAAGTCCAATTGAATTGTAAAAGAGTTCTTAGTGGATTGTTCATCATCAGGGCGTGGCCTCGCGAAGTAGGTTGTTACCGAACTGCGATACAATTTCTCTCGTATTCTTTTATTTTACGTTTCTGCATTATTCATATTGTCTTACAAAGTGTTAAAAGACTCAAACCGGCACTTAGAATTGGTATCAGAGCGGGTCACTGACGTGTGTTTCGGTGAGATCTTGTTGTACTGGTTGATTTTACAGGTATGAATATCATGAGTGAAGGAGGATCGGTGAACAAACCAATGTTTTGGGAAGGTGTCAATTACCCTAATTGGAAGGCTCGCATGAAAGCTTTTGAGAAGACATGGCGATCTGTCTTAACCGAATGGACTCATCCAACAACTAAAGATGATAAAGGCAATACCGTCCCTAAGCCAGAAGAGGAATGGTCCAGCGATGAGGACAAGCTAGCAAACAGTAATTTAAAAGCATTGAACGCCATTTTCAATGTTGTGGATGTTAATCCATTCAAATTAATTTCCACATGTGAATCCGCAAAAGAAGCTTGAGATATTCTTCAAACTGCGCATGAAGGCATGGATGCTGTGAAGGCCTCAAAACTTCAAATGCTCACAACCCGTTTTGAACGTTTACGAATGGAGGAGGATGAGTGTATTGCCGATTTCAACTCAAAGCTTTGTGATATTGCTAACGAAGCCTTCGCCCTTGGAGAAATATATTCTGACGCCAAATTGGTGAAAAAGACCTTGAGATCACTTCCGACACGTTTTGCTTATAAAGTGACCGCCATCGAAGAAGCAAAAAATGTGGGGAAGATGAGAGTTGATGAACTCATAGGTAATCTTCAAACCTTTGAAATGAACTTTAAGGATCAAAATAAAAGTAGAGGAATTGCTCTTCAAGCAGATTATGAAGATTTGTCCACCAAAGATGAGACCGACGAAGATGATGACGTGAGTGAGTCTCTTGCTTTACTCACCAAAAACTTCAATAAAATGCTGAGAAAGATCAACAAGAAAGAAAGAATCAGAGAGAATTTAAAGAACATAAATTCTTAATAGAAGAACTTTAATCCTCAGCGTTTTGAAGAGAAGAAAAGAAACAAGGGCATACAATGCCGAGAATGTGAAGGATTCAGACATGTGCAGGCGGAGTATGCAAACACTCTCAAGAAGAGAAACAAGGCTGCAATGGTGTCTACATGGAGTGATGACTCGGATGAAATTCAAGAGGATGCAGATGATCACACCAGCAATTATGTGGCCTTCACTGTAAGTAATGAATTCATAGATAAAAATTTGTTGAACACTGATAATGTTGTTGCAGAGCTGTTGCAAGAACGTCTGCAACAACCTCTGGTGGAGTTGTTGATGATACAAGTTTCGAGGATGAAAATGAAGATAACAGTGACGATGATGACCTAAGTCTTTGGACGATTCATGAGGCTTATAAGAAGATGTACAACAAGTGGCTTGTTTTTTGCAATTGAAATAAATCACTTGAAGATGAAGTTACTATCTTAACAAAGGAAAGAGATGAGTTGAAGAAGGTTGCAACAAATTACGAAATCTTGGCAACAAAGCATAAGAGAAAGCTTACTGAAACCAGACTCGAATTAGAGCAGACCCAGAAGAATTTAAGAATGCTAAATTCAGGAACTACAAAATTGGATCACCTACTTTCACAACAAAAAACTAGTAGTGACCATTCTAGACTTGGGTACAAGGGTCAAGGAATTTCTGAAAAGACTGTTTTTGTGAAAGGAGCCACCAGTATAAGAATGCATGTCTTTCAGAAATCTCATGTAAGATAAGGTAAGAAGCTTGTTGCAAAGCCTATTGCAACAAGACAAGCAACAAACAGGTTTGTTCCTATCTGTCATTATTATAATATGCCTGGACATATTCAACCATGGTGTTTTAAGTACATAAATGCTATTAATAAAGGTTTGAATATGGAGTATGGAGAAGCAAAACGAACACCTAAAATTAAAATTGATTTATCTAATAAAAAAACAAGGAAAATATGGGTTAAAAATCCGATTTAAGGTGCTTTGTTGCTTATACTTCATTAAAAGCTTGTACTACTGATGCCTGGTATTTTGACAGTGGTTGTTCTAGGCACATGACAGAGACTCGGGAAAATTTGTCAAATTTTTGAGAAGGTGAGGATATGTTACTTTTGGAGATGGTATGAAAGGTCGTGTTCTTGGTAAGGGAATATTGAATGTTGATGGGCTTCCTAAGCTCAAAAATGTGATGTTCGTGGATAGGTTGAAAGCAAACTTGATTAGCATAAGTCAATTGTGTGATCAAAACTTATTTGTAAAATTCACAAAATATTCATGTCAAGTTTTTGATGATAATGATTGTTGTGTCATGACAAGAGGAAGATCATCAGATAATTATTATTTACTTACTCTTCCTCACAACACATCACACACTCATACGTGTCACAATGCTTCAACTAATGATATTGATATTTGACATCAAAAGTTGGGTCATTTAAATTTCAAAACCTTGACAAAAATTATGAGTACAGGAGCGGTGCGTGGAGATCCAAATCTGAGTAAGAGAAAACCAGGTATTTGTGGTCCTTGTCAACTCGGCAAACAAATAAGGACAAAGCACAAGGCGTTACAACAGATCAATACAACAAAGGTTATGGAATTGCTACATATGGATCTTATGGGTCCTATGCACGTGGAAAGCATTACAGGTAAGAGGTATATCTTTGTGTGTGTAGATGATTTCTCTAGGTTCACTTGGGTGGATTTTATTAGAGAGAAATCATATACATTCGGTGTTTTCAAAACTTTGTGTAAAAAATTGAAAAATGAGAAAAGTTACAATATAGGCAAAATAATCCGAATAAAAAGTGATCATGGTAAAGAATTTGAAAATACTATTTTTGTTGAATTTTGTGATGAACATGGTATTGCTCACGAGTTCTCAACACCTAAAACACCTCAACAAAATGGGGTAGTTGAAAGGAAAAATAGAACAATCTAGGAGATGGGTCGTGTCATGCTAAATTCAAAGAAAATCTCATTGAGATTATGGATAGAAGAAGTGAATATGGCATGTTACACAATAAACCGTGTTCATTTGAGAAAAGGTATTTTAATGACTCCCTACAAAATTTTGAAAGGTAAGAAACCAAATCTCAAATATTTCCATGTCTTTGGGTGTGTGTGCTATATTTTAAATGATCGTGAAAATTTGGGAAAATTTGAGGTTAAGAGTGATAAAAGGGTGTTTCTAGGGTACTCCATGAATAGTCACGTTTATCTATGAGTTTTATGCTAATTTGGATCTAGAAGTTGCAAATCCGAAGTCCCCAAGGTTATGTCAAATATATGTGAGAAATCATGTTTTTCACTTTTCTCCCATGATTATCTAGGTTGTCCAAACTTTGAGTCTGACAGGACCTGGGAACTTGATAGAGATGAGGACATGAATGATGTCACCTCTGAGCTCATAGGAAAAAATGTCAAATGGTATGGAATTCTTAGATCTGCAGAGCTCACTATTAAATATTCAGTGCTCCACAAGATTACTCTAGCAAATTGGCTTCCTTCTTTGCATCCTACCATTATGACAAGAGATTTGGCTATGTTATTATATCTATTGGGTACTAGCATGGTTTTTGATATGGGCAGGCACATTTTTTAAGAAATTGTTACATATGCCAATGCTCCTGTGAGTACAAAAATTCTTCATTTTCCGTGCTTAATCCATGGTATTCTCACTTCACAACAAGCAGACCTCATTGAGGACACAGACTCTATTGTTCAACCAAGAGCTCCCTATGAAGATTTCTCCGAAGTTGTTGAAAGGGGAACACCTAGATGATATTAAGGGGGAGCAAGTTGCTTCTTCACCTGTTGCACTTGCTGTTGCAACAAGTTCTGCAACAGGCGATTCATCCCGAATCTACAAGTTTCTTTCTACTGAGTTACAACAGGTTCAGCTCCAAAAACAGAAGCTAGCTGAGGAACAACTTCTTCTCTTTGCCAAGGAGATGGAGCTTATGGCACTGCTGGCTTCTTTACATCAATCTTCATCTTCAACTGCTCTGCGGCACAGTCCTGCTCCTTCCATTACTCTTGTTCCTTCTCCTACTCAAGGTTTTGCATCATCTTTTCCTACTGCTCACTGACAGTTGATCACTTTGAGCATTTTTTTTTGTCAAAAAGGGGGAGTAGGTAGTCTAGTCTATGATGTTTTAAGTTCAGGGGGAGTTTTTCTTAAACTAGGTGGAGACAATTTACTTCTGATTTGGTTTGTGCTAGTTGACTTTACAAAAGTTATTTTGTTTTAGTTTCCATTATTAGTTTTGCCAAAACAATGCCAAAGGGAGAAATTGTTGGGATTTATTTTCTAAATTCTATATTAATTCATCGTTTTATGATTGGCATTATTTTGGGAATGATTGGGTGGTTGATTATGTTTGAGAATAGATGTGCAGTTGACAAGTTCTTTATAGAAAGTTTTTGTAAGATCTGAAACTAATTTAGTTACTGTTTTTGAAAGTCAACTATTGATTCAATGATGATAAATTGATAATTGGTGATTTAATTGATATTTAATTGAGTTTTCGTAGTTGGATGATCTTCCTCTGTCTCCTAGGAATGTGTCCAGATTCCTATATCAGTTTCAAAAAGATTTCAGAATTAAAACAGATTGATTCGGACTGGTTTTGAGAAAGCTGACATTGACAGCTATGTTGCAGCAAGGATCTGCAACATATTTGGTTCAACGAATTAATTGAAGAGGTCGTAAAGCTGATCACATTTTGCTTATTTATTCAAAGAGTCTCTCGTGTCTCTGGACACCTTTTGATTGGTTTTGCTGGGTTGTGAGAAAGGTGAGCACTTGTATTCAAGAGAGATGATGTGAGTGTTTTTCGGAAGAAAAACTTAATTTGAGGGATTCTAATGTTAAAAGTCGAGGGGATCTCGTTGTTCAAGTACATTAGGAAATTGCAAGTTTATATGCATCTTCTTAGAGATGGAGCCTCGGGTAGATTAAGTCCAATTGAATTGTAAAAGAGTTCTTAGTGGATTGTTTATCATCTGGGCGTGGCTCCGCGGAGTAGGATGGTACCGAACCGCGATACCATTTCTCTCGTATTCTTTTATTTTACGTTTCTGCATTATTCATATTGTCTTACAAAGTATTAAAAGACTTAAACCGATGAGAGAGTCTCGGGTAGATTAAGTCCAATTGAATTGTAAAAGAGTTCTTAGTGGATTGGTCATCATCTGGGCGTGGCTCCGCGGAGTAGGTTGTTACCGAACCGCGATACAATTTCTCTCGTATTCTTTTATTTTACGTTTCTGCATTATTCATATTGTCTTACAAAGTATTAAAAGACTTAAACCGATACTTACATAAAGCAATTTGTGAAGAGGAAGCTACATAAAGGGACAATGAAGTAGTTAATTAGGAAGCAGTACCTGCCAGTAACCCTTTCGAGTAACCGGGAAGTAAATGTGGTCGCCGGTAAAGCGCCGCCAGTCAATGCCTCCAAAGACAATTTCACCTCCCAGTTTTGACATTGGATCTCTATTTATCCAGAAAGAGAAGACTTTTTGAGCCATATGACCTTGCTTCACCATGTTATACCTGCATGTTAAAAAGTACCAAGGCTTCATTATGTTCAAGACAGCAAAGTGTGAAGACAAAAATGAGATCTTCACTAATCAAGGCCAGTCAACAACTGTACGAAGGGCTAAAACAATGTTGTTTGTGAGTAAATTGCAGTTCAAGAGTATTATACCACAGGGGAGTGGCTTGGTCAACTGCAATATCCTGGAATCCAAGTCCAACAACCCCATCAAACTTTGTAGCCAAGAATGTCAAAAATCCTTCCCTTGTAATCTCAACAAATTCCTAAATAATGGGAGCAGATATAACATCAATTCAAAGTAAAGCAAATGTTTAAAAATTTATCAGCAAAAGAAAGAAAGAAACCCACTTGATCTTTGATGACAACATCCCCAACTTTAACGTGATCTTGGCTGAAGAAGCCGGAAATTGATCTGGAACCATAAGGAATTTTACAAGGGATTCCTAAACCAAAAACCAGCAACAAATTTTCAGTTCAGCTAATTAACTAAGATCGGAAATTGTTTTTCTGTCATAATAAGTAAAGCATCAGTTGGAGCAAACTAGTACCAATTTTGGTATAGGAACTGGAAAGTCTTGGTCTGAACTTGGAATGAAAATAGCAAGGAATCTGCACAAGTATCATTCACAAAAGTGCTTAAGAAAGAGAAACAAGTACTATTACAACATTTTAATGACTTGTTACTCAAGTATTACTTACAGAAAAAATGCAGCTAGAAGATGGGACCCACAGATTTGAGCCTCCAGTGTCAAAGACAACAGTCATGGTTTGTGGTGGTGAACCAATTCCAATCTCTCCAAAATATTGGGTGTCTAGATAATTTTTCAAGTATATTACGGCCTTCATATTATTGGAATTAGAACTTCTATTATCCCTTGGACTTGAATAAGAAGGATGTTGAACGCCTTCTCTAGTGATTCTTGCAGCTTTCATTCTGTTGAGGTCTAAAGCATGCTTCTTGAGACTTATTCTGAATAGCCCGTCATCGGATTCGGATTTCAGTGGAGCTGAAGACTCTGACCAGGCCACCATACATAGAGAAACTAGAAGAATCTTGATCACCCCCATACTAAGAAAGTTGTGTCTATATATATATATATATATATCTGGCTTTAACACAGAAAAGAGAAAAGCTTCAACATGAAAAGCACATAATCTAGTCCTTTGTTTAGTCCAGTAAACATCGGCGATAATAGGCGTCAGACGAACTAGATAGCCAGATAAGGAGGAGCAATATGGAAAGGTTGAAGGTATTAGTTCATACCTCAAAACAACAGTAGTTGGTACACGATGAAGATGGAGTAGTGAATGAGAGTGTGTGAGATCAAACCATAATTTGCTTATCACGCATGCATTCTCATTAAGCTTTATCTTCATAGTAGCTAGATTGAACATATATAACTAGTGCTGGTCTTTCAGGGTTGAGTATCAGAGAATCAACAAGTACTGATCTATAAGCAGATGAGAAAGTATTAATTTACCATTCTGGGGGAACACAACAGTGAATTAAGCACCCGACAGTTGAGGAAACGACCTGGTAGTTTCTCGGAGGATGTTTGGTCTTAACTTGTGTACGGTCGTACCTCTTAATATTACCATTACAATTAGGGAGGAGAGGACATCTCTCTCTCTCTCTCTCTCTATATATATATGTATATATATGAATAATACGTGTATATGTGCCTGTATGTATGTGACAGTTGTGCATGCTTGTGTATGGCAATATATGTATATATATATATATATATATATACATATATTTGTAGTCTCTACTGGGTACAACTGCCCGATGGCTGTATGTGATTACATTACACCGTGGCGAAGTATCACCATTAGCCTTAAGTGAAAAATGATGAAAACTTTTCTCATTTCATTTGGCAAGTACAAACTCTTTTCCTTTTTTCTTAATTACTAGTTTAAAAGCACGTGCTTCGCACGGGTGTATTTAGTTTGTTTACTTTTAAAAATATATAATTTTACAAAAACAGATGTACCAAAATATATGTGTCAATCAAAATGCGTGTTTCAATTGAATACTACATAAGCATAAAATTAAATAAGAATACCATATTTAAATAAAAATTAATTTTAGTTAATACAAGTGTAACGACTTCAAGAATTAAATAAGTTTAATTATGTTAACTGTGATTTATTAATTCACTTAATTTGAATTTTTAATTAATTAAGAAATTCTAAATTATTTTAAGTATTTACAATTCCTCTCCGGAAGTAGGTAGAAATACCTACTTCACTCTTTTTCTTATATTTTCTTTTTTCTTTCTTATATTTTTCTTATTTTCTCTCATTCTCTCTCTCGTACACTCACACTCTCTCTCCTTCTCAGCTCTCATTCTCTTTTTCTCTCTCTCCTTCTCAGCTCTCATTCTCTTTTTCTCTCTCTCTCAGACTCCCTCGGCTCTCTCTCGTCTCATTCTCTCTCTCGCTACCTCACTTTCCTTTTTTCTCTTTCTTTCAAAGCTTCACTCTCTCAAGAGGAGCTTTTGAACCGGATTTGAATCAAAGAGAATTTTCAAGAAGTTTTTAACATCAAAGCAAAAATCAAGGTAAATTCTTTGAAATTCACTCTTAAATCTCGAATCTTGCTTTGGTGAAACTTAATTTTTATTTAGTTTGTGAGGTTTTGGTTTTAACTTGATTTTGAATGGATTTTGGTTGAAATCATGTTAGAATTTGGGGATTTTTGATTCTTTAGACCCCATTTGATGATTGAAACCTGGTTTTTGAATCCCCATAAAATTATCTCGAAATCAAATACGAAATTATAGGATTTGGCTTTGTTCTTCGCAGTTCGGCCACTTTTTGGCCCTGACCTACTTCCCACAGGTGACCGGTCACCACTCCACCAGCTGACCGGTGGAGTTGCACTCCCCTATCACCGGTAGACCGATGCACACTAAATCTGACCCAGAAATGCTTAAAAACCCTGTTTTGACCCCGAAATTCAATGAAAAACGACCTAACTTCATTATTTGAGAACTCAAAGTGAGTGGATTAGCCACATTAATCCTTGTTCCCTTTCATTTCTCTTGATTAAATTCTAAATTCTTAAAGAATCACAATTTGAATTAAAAAATTATTTATGAACTTTGAATTTGATTAAAGGCACACTAACTCTAATATCCAAAAGGTAGGATATTCTTGTCCATATCCTTGTTAGCCTTGTTTTAAAGTGTGTTTGGCCTATGAAAATGTTTTTAATGCAAAACATGTTTTATAAAGAAAAGTATTTTGAAAAAATAACATGATTTATGCTATTGAATTCATAATGAACTGAATTAAGGTTTAAAAGATATTTTTCTTAAAATAAGATGTTTTAAGAAATAATAACAACACTGATGGCCTAGAAATCGGGATATGGAGATCGTATCCTTAGGGGCAGGACCCGAAACCCGTACGAGTCACTATGGTGGTGATTGGCCTTGCAATGGTTGTAAGTAATTTATCATTAAATTACTTGTTGATGCCTGAAACTGGAAATTTAAGTTTATTTTCCTTTCAAAAAAAAGAAGTTTGGTTCCGGATGACATGTTCGGACCTTGTACTTCCATTTATTTATTCAATTTTATAAATTATATCCTATTGGACCTTTCGCTCATTTTTCTTCTGTTTCAAATGTATTTAAACCCCTATCAGGTGACGCTAGAAGTAGTGCAGAATATGTGGTGTTTATCGGTGAGGAATTCCATTCAAGAATAGAGGAAGTTGTGAAGTGTTTCCTTCATTTTCATTCATTACTAAGGCATGTACTTAAACTTTACTAGACTGTGGTTGATGTCAGCACTTTACTTTTTTGTATTGTTTATGTATGCACAATGTGTAAACCCTGTGGTTGCCGGAGGCTGACTTTTAAAATTGATCTGACTCAGATTGTGGTTTGTAAAGTCCGCCTCACTCTTTTCTAAAATTCAATTTCCTTAAAATAGTGGGGTTTATTAGAAATTCTTATCTATATATATATATATATATACTATCTATGACTTTGACTTTAGCTTAATTACTTTCTTAATCCATGTTTAATTTTCTAAATAAGCCTCCACGTCACTAAGCTCTGTTTGAGGGTGTAATAAGAAGTCAAATAAAAAACAAATCAGGGTACATATAAGAAAATAATATTTCAAATGGCTACAATAAAATAGACGTTTAAGTAAAATAAATATTTTATAACGGCTAATTTTGAAAAAAAAAAATTGAAAACTGTAAGAAAAAACATAAAAATGAGCACATTTGAGAAAAGTTATTTCAATAATACATATCAATAACAAAAATTAGTTCAATGTATCGATTAGAATGAAAAATGTATTTATGATATTTGTCAAAAACATATTCTAGAGGATTATAAAAAAAATAATTAAGTGGATGTAAAAAAATAATTCCCTTAGAAAAAATTTAGAAATGTAAATTTTAAATGTAAAATATTTGGGATAAAAGAAAAATGGAAAAGTAAATAAAAGTATAAAATAATAGAAGCGAAAACAATCCCTAAACAATAATTAATAAAACAAAAAAAAAACCATTAAAAGATAAAATAACTTGATCATGACTTTGAATAATGAATTTTGAGATGATGAATAATAATGCATTTAGCTTTATATATGTGTTAATTATAGATGTAGATTATTATTATTTATTTATTAATTTAACTTGGGAATTGGGCTTTAGGGCCCATGTGGAGAAAAGGGGCCTAGGATGGAAACCCAGAACGAAAATGAGAGCGGGTCGGGGCCGGAATAGGTGAGATGGGAGAGAATCATAGTAACAAAAAAAAAAAAAAAAATGAAAAGAAAAGAAAGAGAGAGAGAGGGGGGAAAGAAAGAAAAAGCAAGAAATGGAATTCAAGTGTTAGTGTTGAAGCCAGAGAGAGAGAGAGAGAGAGATGGACATGAATGATGATGACGACTGGGATTTGAGCATAGAGCAAATTGAATCGCTCGAAAGAGACGTCAGAAGATCGCTCAACAACGCCTTCTCCATTCTTCTTCTTCTTCTTCTTCCACTTTCACCAATAACAACAAGGTCTAATCTCACCTTCCCAGTATTTTCTCTTTCTATCTCCCGCAAAGAAGCAATCTTTTTTTTTTCTTTTCCTTTCTCTCTGTGAATTTGCGGGCTCTTTTTTTTTTTTTTTTTTTGAATAATGTTTATTATTATGTGGTATATAATACAGTGTAATTTACCATATCACGAGTGTCATAAAGTATATTTATGCATTCGGAGAGAATTTTTTTGACAAATTAAAGGGCACTTTTTAATTTTTCAAAATTAAATAACAAATATTTCACAGGAGTAGGTTATTTATTACTTTATTGAGCTTGTTTTCATCAATTCATGATATCATTTTGCAATAATGCAGGCTGAGGCTTTGCCTACTGACTCCAGTGTCTTACCTGCATCGCTCTCAGTTCCATCCAGACCAAATGCTGGTTAATTTCTTCCCTTAGGCTTCAGTTTTTAATTTTTAATTTTTGTTAAATTTTCTTCCCTTAGGCTTCGGTTTCTTTTTTTAATGTATTATCTTTCATGTTGACAACTAAAAGTCAGTGATTTTGATTCTTAATTGAAATTTTATGAGAGAATCATTGGTGGGAATTTTTTTGATTCAAATTATTTGTTAGAGAAAAGTACTTTAGCAGAATCGGAATCATGAGTTCAAGCACGTTCGTGAAAGAACGGGCTCTAATTACAAACTCAGTGGTCCCCTAGATGGTTGTCCTAATATTTGCTGTGTTAATTTACCATTTTTTTTAAACCTGTCTCATCGCCTTTTGATGAAAGAAGATGAACACTTAAAGGGGTTACCAAAGGTGCGTGTCAAATTCTTTCTTCATGCTAGTGGCAACATTGCAGCAAAATTTTCATATGATCAGGTGAATCTTGCATTTTTCATAAACTAACTCTTCTATTTGTTAGCAGAAAGTTGATAAAGAATTTCACTTCATAAACAAGTTTGACTCTTATTTACTTTGACTTTGCATCAGGCAGTGGTAGGCGCTGTTCGTAAGATCCCTAAAGCCACTTGGAGTGCAAAAGAAAGGTTTCACTTCCCGCTCTTCATGTTATTCGTGTCTTGTTCTGGTCTCGGTTGGATGGTTGTGTTTTCAACTATTTTTGAAATGGAGCCTTAACTAGATGTATCGATGTTGATATTACAGGCTATGGATTTTCCCCCCTAGTTCCTTGTTGTCGGCAGAAAAAGGTCTTCGTGAAATATCTGGTGTTAATGTTGAGGTTTATACCTTGTCCTTTTCCCATACTTAAGAAGCTAGAATTTTCTTGCTTTATTGTTTTGGCTATTTGTTATGACTTCTAAGTTTGACAGGTGATTAGATCATATACAAGTACATTCCCAAGTATCTAAAATTGGGCTTTCATCATTATGTTTTGCATTGTTATGATTCTTACAGTTAGAGAACTTAAACCCCTTGGTGCACCGTGCTATTGATGCAGCTTCTGCTGTTCCAGATCTTCGAGGTAAGTGCTGTTTTATTTTATTTTATTTATTCTTTTAACCTCTCTAATTATTAATTACACTCATAAGGATGTGGTAGGGTGCTACATTTTCTTTTCTTTTCTACTGTTTTAATCGACGGCTTAGTATGTGTTTACTGTTTCATTGTTCATATGGAAATGGAAGAACACGAGTATTATATACGTGTAAACGTAAAAGCAAAGCATGTTTTCAGTGGTATAAAGGATAAGCTGAATATGAATAGCAAGCTCGTTTAGAATGATGGTCAGGGCTTTCCTGCATGCTAGTTTAGAATGATGGGTCTATGCGTCATAATATTTGTGTGTATTTTCTAACTCCAATCTGATTTTTCTTGGTGATTTAGACCGATATTACAAGATGCCTGCCACTGTTGAATCAAAGCTCTTGCCATTTCAGAGAGAAGGTGTTAGGTAATATACTAGCTATCGAGATTTTTTCTTAATCACCAGTGACCACTGTTATATGGGTGACATGAAGAGAGAACTATATTTTCGTCAAGAGATGTTAGTTGATCTTTATTCGTAACGTTATAATTTTTACTTTGAATAAAACGATAAAAAGTGACGTCTTTTTTTTTATTTTTCTGTATCTTATTCTTTTCAGGTTTATATTGCAGCACGGAGGGCGGGTTCTCCTTGCAGATGAGATGGGACTGGGAAAGACTTTGCAGGCAAGTGTTTCCTTCCAATCAACATAAAGGATTATTATAATCCTCCCCATCCGTCACATTCTCTATCCCTCCTACCAAACGAAGCCTAAAGATGAGAAGTGAGGGCAAATTGATTTAATCCAAACAAATTCATTCGTATTATGGGCTATTCTTAGTTGGGATGTGCTTTTTTTTTTTTTTGATGTTATCTCTCCCTTTTTTAGTTCAGTATATATATGTACTATGGGCTAATAGATAGCGTAATTTAAGCAGCACTTTAATATTGTCTTGTCTCTTATTTTCTAGGCAATTGCTGTAGCCTCATGCGTTCGTGAGTCATGGCCGGTTCTTATACTCGTCCCATCTTCCTTGCGATTGCAATGGGCTTCAGTAAGTAGCTAGCTCAATCTTATACTTTAATTGTTGTGAACTCTTGATTTTCCCATAATGCATGTCCCGATCTGCTTCTTGTGCAGATGATTCAGCAATGGCTGGATATCCCACCATCAGACATACTCGTATGTTATCTGCCATTCCTCTGTTGATAGTTTTAGTCACTTCGTATAAGGAACTTTTATGAACTTGCTTGTTTTGTTTTTAACAGTCCCCTTAACAAGCCACTGTTTTTAGGTTGTTTTGTCTTCTTGTTGCGGATCAAACAAGAGCGGATTCACTATAGTAACGTCAAATACCAAAGGGACCGTGCGTCTTGATGGCCTATTTAATATTATCTCCTATGACGTCATCCCTAAATTGCAAAGTTCACTCATGGCATCAGAGTTTAAGGTAAGAACAGTCAAATGGCTGAGTTGTGTGTCATTCATTCTTATAGTGTTAATTTACATATCGTGAAAATTATTTTGTACCAAAATTTATGTTTCTGTATTTGTGTTAATAATTTAAGAATTGTGTTCATTACTTACATTGTACCAAATGAAAGCTAGACAATCTGATATGCTTAATAACTTGTTGCTTTATGTCAACTCACTGATCTGACATTGTGAATTTTATTCAGGTTGTGATTGCAGATGAGTCGCACTATCTGAAAAATGCGCAAGCGAAGAGGACAACCGCATCTCTTCCAGTCATAAAGGTATCCCCCACCCCAATACTGCTGATCTTCTCATCTATTCTTTTATTTCTGATACTGATAAATTCATAATTGCTTTCTGAGGTCAAGCCATGCATAAATATAATATTAGAATTTCAGTCACCTAAATTAGTGATTTCTTTGGGACCTACCGTGTATTTCTCTCTCTCTCTCTCTCTCTCTCAATCCTTAGACTCTTTGACATTTTCAGAAAGCTCAGTATGCGTTATTACTTAGTGGAACTCCTGCTCTATCCCGACCAATTGAACTATTCAAACAGGTATTTTGGAAGGCATTAGAGGGTTGTTTATATAAATGCACAAGTTTCTTATATAATAAATTTATGACGAATTAGTTGAAACTTTACAGCTGGAGGCCTTGTATCCTGATGTATATAAATATGTTCATGAGTATGGTAATCGATATTGCAAGGGTGTAAGTAACAAGCTTTCATTTAAACCTTCTTAGATCATTTTTATCTCCTCCCTGTTCCTCTGTTCATTATTGCTTTCAATATGGATCTTTAGGGAATATTTGGAGTGTATCAAGGTGCAAGTAACCATGAAGAATTGCATAATTTGATGAAGGCGACATTGATGATTCGTCGACTTAAAAAAGATGTTCTTTCTGAGCTTCCTACAAAGCGTAGGCAGCAGGTTAGTGCATCTGTCTGTATATGTCTCTGCAATTTGTAATCTGCTTCTTGAAATCAGTATGAGTAAGTATTATCTCATTGCAAGTGAGACAATTAGAATAATAAATGGTTCTTGGGACAGAAAAGAATTGAGATCTCGTTAAGTGAGCATTATGCAGTGGACAAGAACTTGGAAATAAGCTTATCTTACATTTTCTCAACTTTTATGTTTGTCTCGATTGATATTAGGTCTTCCTCGATTTGGCTGAAAAGGACATGAAACAAGTTAACGCCCTGTTTCGCGAGGTATGTGAACTCTTCCTTTTAATCATAATTTCATTTTTTTTTTAACTTTCGTGAAAACAAAAAAGAGATGATATAATTGTGTTAATGTTCTTTTATATAGTTGGAGGTGATAAAAGGAAAAATTAAGGCCTGCACTTCAAAAGAAGAGGTTGATGCATTGAAATTTACGGAGAAAAATCTTATTAACAAGGTGATTTTTTACTCATGCTTGTAAAGTTGGTCCTATGCGACTGGGCGGTTTTATTTTTATTTTTATAGAAAATGAAAAAAAAAAAAAAATTGCTGCAATAGGTCAGGCAGAATAAGAAGTTTCCTCTTAACTTGTTTTTTCTACTCTCAATAAGTTCTACTTTTCTCTTCCAACTTAATATTGGACTTCAGATATTTACTGAATCTGCTGAAGCTAAGATCCCGGCGGTTTTAGATTACCTGGCAACTATGATTGAGGTACTGTTCTACTCCGCTGATATATCTCTTGAAAAGTACTTACAATCAAAAAAAATATTTTGTTCTGTTAATAGATGGTAGATATGCAATACTTTCCTCGTCACATCCCTCTGATTTTAAGATATTCATGACAAAGGAAATGCGTCCAATTTAAGTGTTATGCTTTTCCTATTTTCCCACTGAATTACATGTATGAAACTTTCTTTGTTTTATTTATTTGCTCCCTTAATTATGCCCTGTGCTTTTCCTTTTCTGTGTTACTTCTTTAATATATCTGAACAGTGTTGAGTAATGTTTGTTTGCAGGCAGGCTGCAAGTTTCTAATATTTGCCCATCATCAATCCATGATTGAGTCCATACATCAATTTCTTCTTGTAAGGCCACTTCAATCAACATCGAATTTTTTTCCCAATAAACGAATTAAAGAAAAAGAATTCAATAACGTTGAACCTTTCAAGGTTGATTTTTTTTTTCCATAAATCTCAAATTTGCAGAAAAAGAAAGTGGACTGCATTCGAATTGATGGGAATACACCTGCAGTGAAGAGGCAAGCTTTGGTTACAGATTTTCAGGAAAAGAATTCTGTTAAGGCAGCTGTGGTACGCCAGTTTGCTTCATTTAAACTAGCAAATAGTAGTTTTTAACTTTTCTCATTTTTCTTCAGTTTCAACCAATGGGGTACTTGGATTCTAATACAAGAATTTGCATGCTATAGATGGCGTTCATTCTCTTTTTTAAATAAATAAGTAAAAATTGAGTTCTTATACTTGAAACCACTTTGCAGCTGTCTATTAGAGCTGGAGGTGTTGGATTAACTTTAACGGCTGCAAGCACTGTTGTTTTTGCGGAATTGTCGTGGACTCCGGGCGACCTGATTCAAGCTGAAGACCGTGCTCATAGAATTGGACAGGTACTTTTCTCAATGGATGATCTTGGTGACGGTACAAAAGCTGTCTATGAAATATCTTGACTTCTATTACGTCCCGAATTGAGAACTAACATGAAGTCATTGCTTCTGTGGATGAAGTTCATATATCAGTTCCATTCATTCAAGAAGTACAATTTTTTTTTTCCCACTTTTTGATGCACTTCATGTTATTAGGCATCTTCAGTCAATATATACTATCTGCTAGCAAACGACACGGTTGATGACATAATATGGTACATTCTTGTGCAATTTCGATCAATTTTGATTCCTTTCTCGACATTGTTGATTAATGGTTTTTTATTTGGTTGTATTATACTTGATCTCTCCTCAGGGATGTCGTTCAGAGCAAATTGGAAAACTTGGGGCAGGTAATTTTGTACCTACCCTTTTATCAACTTGGCGAGTTTTGAAATCTAATTGATCCTCCACAAAATAAAAACTAATAAAAATAAAAAAAAACTTTCAGATATTTCTTGTTTTAATAGTTAACTGTTCCCTTTGGAACATTAGATGCTTGATGGGCATGAGAATGTCTTGGAAGTTGCAGAGCATAAAACGCTAGACTCAGCGAGCGAACCCAAAAGCAGCCCTTTGAAGCAGGCAACACTTGACTCATTCATAAAGCGATGCAACAGCCCGGTCGACTGCGAAAGTCAGCCGAAGCTCAAATATCCGAGGCACTGAAGAAAGTGGCAGGTCTCGGATCGTACAGAAGGATAATGTGTTCTCATTCATGGACATAGATATACAAATATAGGGAACCTGAACCCATTCGGCATTAGTTTGTTAAAAAAGTGCGATGGGGAAGAACTAAGGAGGGCCCTACTTAAATTTGTAACATTGAAACCCGTAAAGTTTGTAGGCGAATTGCGCAGAAGATTGGAGGATGTGTCAAGTGTTAAGTGAAGTTCAAGATAAGTTTATGTACAAATATTTGTAATGGAGGCGTATATGTGTAGAAGGGCGGGGGAGCCTTTGGTAGAAAAGCGTAATCATCAAATGTAATTTAGCAGTATTTTCTGTCTCCAGTGGTTAAAGCAAGAAAGATTAATTAAAGGATATTAAACTACACGGAACTAAATATGCCATGGACATGCCACGTCGAAGGGCTATAATATCAGTATTTTCATGTAAATGGACTATTATATTAAACTACACGGAACTAAATATGCCATGGACATGCCACGTCGAAGGACTATAATATCAGTATTTCATGTAAATGGACTATAATGTGGTTGGCCGCCGTTGTTAATATCAGTTTTTTGTGGATATTGGTCGGCAGCCGTCGGTATCACGGTGGATACTGATGGGTATTCATAGCGGATACCAACCAATATCACACTTGAAGGTATATTTAGTTTTATAATGAGAAATGCTAAGGAAACCAATTTTAATTCCAACTCTTCTACTAATGAGTTGGTAATATACCAAAAGTTTTTATTGGTTGGTAAGTTAAAAGACTCTGGATTGGCATTTGGGACCCTACGATTGATTGCATTGCTGTAGATTCCAATTTAGAGTTGTAACATGAGAATAGGGCTGTACATCAGTCGGTGAACGGTGAACGATTATTTTCATCAGTTCGGTCACTGACCAACGTCGTTGGTTTTCCCATTCATGAAACCAATCAATCGTGACCGTCATGGGCATACATATTGGTACAGAATGACTTCGAATTTGAAGGGACAAAAAGATGCTAGAAAGTAATATCACATATTCACTTGATAAATTGAGGTGTAGCATTAATATCTTAAAACAACTGAAGGGGAAAAAGATCTGTATATTCACATAAAATCTTGTATCTAGTCCAACTGTAACACTCTTTGGTTGGACTTGAACATCCCAAATTCCCAATAGCATGCAATGCAATCTCAATCTAATAGTTTTCCCCAAGCTTTTCTTCTAAACTGCAGCAGCCAAACCAAAATCTCTAGTGTCTTCTCCCACCAAACTAGCGACAATGGCACTCACATCTTCCAGTCCAACCCCAAGGCAGAGCGGATTACCATTCTTTGCTGTCCTAACACACACATCTGTTGCTCCCTCAACCCTAGTACTATTCACAACCCTGACGTTCGGAGCAGACCTGCATTTGCCCATGCACTTGCACCCCACAACGGCGCCTTCCCCGCCCATCTGCCTCGCGAATTCCTCCATCAACGCCACGCTTCCCGACTTCTTGCACTTGTTGCCCATACACACATCCACTCTCTTGCTACAACAACCACTAGTTGTTGGCCTGCATTCGGATTCCTTTTCGTGTTTTTGCAGCAATAAACTCGTGACATCTTCAGAACCACGCTCCTCCTCGGTTGCGTTTGCAGTTGGAAGGCTCCGAAGTGAGGCTGCTAACACTGCGGCTACTTGAGCAGCCGCGGACAACGAGTCGTCATAATAATGTTGGGCTGCATTTTGGCTTCTGAGGCGGTTCATGTCAATCACTTCACCGCACTTGCTGTCGCTTGATTCGCTCGATTCCGATGATGATGAAGATGATGATGAGTCATTGTCAATCATAATCGCCATCTGCTCGGCTTTGAGATTAGCCTTGTCTTGTTTCTTCATCACCTTTAACTCTTTCTCCTCTGCTCTGAGCTTTTCAAGGTGTTTAAGTAGTACATCTGCAGATTCCTGTGCACAAACCAAACCAATCGTTTAGCATATCATCATTAGGTTAGGCCTTTTTTTTTTTTATATTATTTTCAAGCTTGCAATCACAGTAGAAACAATAATTCACAGCAAAACAAAACCATTCTGTGTTTCCATTCCGGAAATCAATAAAAAAAAAAAAAAGGAATTTTGGAATGAATGTTGAAACTAAGAGCGCTCGCCGCCCCCCTCCCCCCCTTTTATTTTATTTTTTCCTTATAACAAATTTAGATGAGAAAAAACAAGTTAATTTAGGGAAGCTTGTAAACTAAGAAAGCCAGAAAATAATAACAAAAGATCGAGGCTGAAAGAGTTAAGAACAATATTAGAAATCTCGTAAGTTTAATTATATGAATAACAGAGACGGAACAATTTCATCAAACGAAAAAGATTCTAAAATAAAAGACAAAGAAAATCATAAAAAAGGAATGAATTTGATTCCAGAGACGGAACAATTTCATCAAACGAAAAAGATTCTAAAATAAAAGACAGAAAATCATAAAAAAGGAATGAATTTGATTATACCAAAACCTGATGATCCTGAAGTTGAGAAACATCAGAGAAGACGGACAAGTTCTGAGACAACGCCTTGAGAAGCTTCAACGTCTTCTTCTTCTTCTTCGAAGCCATGACTTTCTCCTTATCGTTCTTCTTCTTGGCAGTAACAACACACAATCTGGGCCTGGGCTTGGGCGTGTGGTAGTACTCCAGGTGGCCCAAATCGAGAAACTCGGTCTTCATACCTGTGAAACTCGGCCTTATTCTTGTTGTGGGTATTCCGGCGGAAAACGACGCCTTCACGGAGGTTCTTTCCGCCGCTGGAAACGGCGGCGGCGAAGGCTTCGAGGAGAAGCAACGGAGCTGTTGGGAAACCTCCATCGAGAAGTGAAAACAACTCACCAACCTTTGAATTGGAATGGAATCGAATCTAACAGATAATAATAATCTCTTCGAAAGGCAAAGCGAGCCGAAGAAGCAAAAAATATTTATTTCGATTGCAGACTTTTAAATATTATTTGCTTCTTCAGAATAGATTGAGAATCTAATTGTTTGAATAGAAGAAGGACAGGATTTTGAGGAGGATCAGAACTTGGAACAAGCAACCATCTTTGCTACGTGGTCGTATGCCATTGGTGGATGCTGATGTGGCAGAGCTACGCGCGAAAAAGCCTGGAGGCTCGTGACCGTTTTCGGTTTGCCACGCTTTTCCCTCCATCTGGCACGCGACTTTGTGCCACATCAGCAATGGATTCTATCCTACGGTGAAGAAAGTGCCACCTCCTGCCACGAGGAATTCCAAGTAGGCACCTCTCTCTAAAGTTCTTTTCTTTCTTGGAATTGTTTTTTAGTCAACCTTTAACGGTTGGACTTGAATTTTTTTGGACCATGGTTGGACTTGAATTTTGAAGTCAAGAAATGCGTGCCGAGCTGAAATATTTAATAAATATAATTTTGTTGCTGAGATAATTATTACGATTACTATTATTTTTTTTTTAAGAATACTTACGGCCCGTTTAGTTTGTTAATTTAAGTTTTTAATTTAAATTTAGATGTGATTTTATGTGAGAGTTTTTTACTGTAGTAAAAAAATTAGATGTGACTATTTCTGAGAGCTTTTTACTGTAATAAAACTCGAATCGGTAAAATGAACGGGGCCTCAGATTCTCTTGGTTAATTTTTGTGTCCTAATTATATATAATTAATTGATAGATTTTTCAATATGCTTAATGTATTTATAGATAAAATTTTTTTAACCATTATAATTGTATATTTTTTTACTTTTACGTGATTTTATACATATATGATAAATATGAAACTTGACCTACCGATATTTTAGTATATTAGAGAAAGTTCCTAATTAATTATATTATATCACGTCATATAAAAATTTAAAATTCTTTATAACTAATTATTTTGTATTTATTATTAAATAATATAACATGATTTAATTGACCATACATTAAATTGAGACACTAAAAATTTAACATCTAAAGGATTAAGTTAACCGCCGCTTAAAAAAAGGAAAATAATAGAAAATATACCAATATGAAAAGCTTAAGAAAGTATATAGGCCAATTTTTAGTTATAAAAATTAATAGGTCATAACTTGTTAAGTTATGGTTCATAACCAAATAAGTTATGGATAAACTTGTCAAGTTATGGTTCATAACCAGACAAGTTATGGATAATTATGGACAATAACTTGTCAAGTTATGGTTCATAACCAGACTAGTTATGGACGAAAACAGTAGTTTGGCCTATTTATTAATTTATATAAACTATTGGTCTATTAATTTTAATTCATCTCAAGTCTTGACCTACGAAAAAGAAATCTTTATTGGTTCTACCTCCTATTTTTTATGAAGAAAATGATTCTTTTTATCGAAGGATCAGAAAAAAATGGGTCCGGACCTCCTGCGGGAATGATTTGGAAGATCCAAAACCAAAAATAGTCGTATTTGCTCGGAAGAAAAGGAGGATCCGGAAAAAATCGATTTTAAAGAGACACGATATAAAAATAAACCCGTTTATGAAACTTATTATCTGGATGTGGATCGGAATCAAGAAAATTCGAAAAGGTTTTTTCTTTTTTGTTCATTAGTATAACTCCAATTATTATATAATTCATCAGAGTAAAATTTATCTGTTGTGAACAGAGCCATCTTTCTTTGTATCATTTCGAAAAAAGTTGACAAACTGGGTGGGTACGTAAAAGATATTCTTTTTTTTCCATCGCTTTCACATGTATGAAAAAAATATTGTGACATTTCATTTTTTACAGCATTTTCAAATTTATCGTTTTTGATATAACGAAATGGACGATTCCAGCGTTTATAGTCGAAAAGAATAGTCACAAGAAGATTTTGATTTGCAAAATTTTTTTTTTTTTTTTTGGAATTTTGGTTTGAAAAGATTTCCGTCATCTTTTCTTGTTTGTTTGGTTAAGAAAATATTACCGTTATATTACATTCTTGTTTGTTTAATTATAAGGAAATCGATTTTCTTCTTTTGGCTAAGAGTCTTAAGAGGAATTTTTTTTTTTTTTTTTTTTTTAAAGAGTCTAAGACGAATTTTAAAAACACGACAATAAATAAAAAACCGCAAACAATGAACACGTGATTCTCCAAAAAAAAAAAAAAAAAGAAAAATGAAAGCGTAAAAAGGTAAAGAAAAAACCGCAAACAATGAACACGTGATTCTCCAAAAAAAAAAAAAAAAAATGAAAGCGTAAAAAGGTAAATACAAAATATTAGGAAAACATAAAAATAAAACGACAACAACATAACGCAAGGACGAAATTTAACAAACGACAATAAGTTGAGAAATACATTAGCTCAAAAAACCACAAAGAATGATGAGTTGTCCGACGAAAATTTAGAAACGACGACATAATAAACAGGACAATTTTCAAAATCAAATAAAAAAGATAAGGAAAGGAAATGATAACTCGATGGACGACAATATTAGGAAAACGACAACAAAATATAAGACGACTAACTATACAGCAAAACGGCAATAACTTGACAAACGGCAATAATAACTCAGTAGACGACAATACTAGGAAAGATAACAAAACATATTGCACAATGCAAAAGAAAAAAGATGAAGCCACCACCTTGAAATGAATACATAATTGGCTATTCAAATCCAATCCCTTATTCCACGAGGATCCCCGATAGGAAGAAGAATGTATTCACATTACCAAATTAACTATGTAAAAGACTCCATACTACATTGGTGCAATATAAAAACATTATGCTACATGATATTTGTGTGCCTAACAAGCTCTGCCAGGGTTGCTGTAATACAACAATGAAAAAGGAGTTGATGAAGAAAAGCCCCATGTATGCTATCACTGCTTTTATTTTGGACTTGGCGGTTGAATATTGCCACTTACATAATTCTCATTGTCAGAGTTAATTCAATTGCTGTGAGGTATACAATCTAATAAAGAAAACAAAGCCTAGCAGCTGACTGATTCTCAAAAGAGCATCAGTAAAAAGAACTGGGTCCGACTCTGTTATGCGATGCTACTTATCTAGTGATTGCATTACAAAGGGTGATAAATAGCATTTTTCATCTTGGAAACGCATCTGGCTAATGGCTATGATGAAGGTATGGCAGGCAACATCTCCTCCCTGGAGCCTCGCAAGTGTCGCGGAAAATGCTGTCGTAGCTCTTCCAAAGCACACAATGTTTCTGAATCAAGACCTCCTGCAAACTGCAATATTGCATTGCATCTCAAAGAACATTAATGTCGTGCGGACTTCCAGGGGAAAAAAGTAAAGAAAAAGGCTTACAAATTCTTTATGTACGTACTTGAAAGTTAAAAAGATTATTACCTGATGGGCTCTGTATGCGAAATTCACACCTTGCAGCAGAAGCGATTCTCTATCTGAGTTCTGAATGGATTCCAGCTCCAATCTCACTCTCTTCATGAATATCTTCACCAGGTTCATTGACGCCTTCTTTATCTGTGTGTAAAGTTTTTCAATTTTCCCAGAACTCATCACATAGTAATCATTTGATTTAAGAAATAATGGAAAAGTTGTTGATTCACTTTTTGCATCCCTCAATCATTGCGAGTTAAATGCTTCAGAATTTTCAGGAACAACTAATGAATCATTGGGTCAAAACAGCTATTGAAACAGGCAAAAACTTAAGAATATATCATTTAGAAGAGAGTACCTTGGTCACAATTCCTGAATCAAGCATCCAATCCGTTGGGATCTTGAGTTCCTGATAAGAACGAAGAACTGAACTTCGCAGCTTGATCAGCTTTTGAATGCTTCTCTCCGACCTTGAAAAAAAGGATAAGATGAGTAAAGACTAGCTGAGCAGAGAACACGACATACGCTTTCCAAAACTCACTCAACAAAAGTTCATACACCACAAAAGTACTTTACTTGTCTAATAAGCTGGCCATCTTCTTGAACGCAGTTGCACATGGAGCGTCACTGTCAATATCCTCATAAGAAGAAATCTCGCTTTCCAACTGCTTAAGCTCGCGATATTCAACTGCAGCTTCTTGCAAGGCATCAGCTTTCCTCTCGGGCCACTTAAAATGCTTCAAGACCGCTCGCTCATCAGCCTTTAGAAGATCATAAAGGCAAGTACAAAGAAAAAGAGGTTAGATTTTTTTTATTGTTATTTAATAATAAGAAACTTCCTTTCATCGATACTGAAATCAGTACAAAGGAAAGAGGTTAAAATGTCCTCATGAAATCAAACCTAAAATAGAACCGAAAAGAGAACAAAAAATGAGAAAAATAAAGGTGAAAAAACCATCGAGAATCCCTCAAAATTCATATTCAAGACAATCAAAGAAAATGGTTAGAATTGTTGGCATAACAAAAATAAAGTCACCACTGAGGAGATTCTTCTCTGAATACTCCCAAGAATTTTAGTGGAAAGAAAATTACCAATGTTGCAAGTTCTCCATCAAGCCAATTGACAAACTTTAGGACGTCTTCTATATCCGTATATGCAGCGGCCTGCACCTTGGTGATGAGGCCGTTGATGAACTCTCCTTTTGTCTCAATGTCAGCTTTTATCTGAAACAAGAATCGATAAGAATTCCAACTTTCATGTGGGAGAATGATTCGGCATGGTGTAAACAAGCGAATTTCAACTAATAGATTTTGAATCCAAATATGAAATGCTTACAGCTAAAAGATGCGCTGAACGATTCTGAATTTCTCCAACTATGCTATTGTGGGCGCTGATAGCCTCCTGTTTATGGCGATTTCCTAGTCCTGAAGGAGAATCCTGATTCCCTTCTTGCTTTGTTAAGGAGTGATAGAATTCCAAAAATGCAGGAGGTTTGCGATTGGTAGGTGCTCTAGCCGAAGGTGGGGGTGGGGGTGGGTGTTGCAGTGGCGGTGATTGGTGGGTGCTCTAGCCGAAGGTGGGGGTGGGGGTGGGGGTGGCAGTGGCGGTGGTAAGGAAGATGGTGGCGGACCCTTCTTTCCTACGGCGATAATTTTGGGACTTGGACTAATTGGTGGTGTTGGGGGTGGTGGTGGTGGTGGTGTTGGTAGAGAAGTGGAAGGTGTCCTTGTAATGCTTGCTTCACTAAGTACCTCCTTTTTAACTACGGAGCGTTCTAACTTGTTGGCAATGAGTTTCTGAATGTCTTTGAAGTTGGGACTCTGATGCTCTCCAACGGAATCCCTCTTCATCAAAAAACAAAGTATTTTCAGATACGTCAATGAGTAATGCAGATATGCACAGACCGTTGGCTAAGACAATCAAAAGAAATGACTAAAAAATAAAATAATACAAACAAAATCGGCTTGCCCCTTTTTCCCTCATCTTAATTAGAATAATAAACACAAAGAAGAACAAGTCATGTTTAGGTGAGTGATGAAGAACAAATATACAAACGCTCTCTACTCAACACTCATTGTGAAACAGAGTAGACGAGCACAAATATTCATAATACACGACCCCCAAGTTATTTTTTTTTTTTATCACAATTCCTGATAAGGAGTAGACAACGACATAAAACATTCAAAGACTGCTCCTTCAAAACAACAGTACCCTCGTCTCAAACAATAATAATAATAATAATAATTCAGAATCAGGACTAAAGTTTCTGCCTTTTCTCAAACTATAAAAACTCACCTGGACAGGAAGAGTTGATATCTTTGCATGAGAAGAGGCGAGTTCGTGGGTGAGCTTCTGGTTCTGCAACTGGAGCTGCTGATTGAAGGCGAGAGCTTTATCCAACTCACCCTTTAGCCTCACAACTTCACCCTCCAAATCGTCTATTTTATTTCTCATCACCAGATTGTCGTCAACCATATTAATCTCATCATCATCATGCAATACTACTAATTCCTTTTTGTTATTGTTCTTCTTCTTCTTCTTCTTCCCATCAAGGTCTGGGTCATCCTCAGTTTTCTTCTGCCGTCGTGGCCGGGGAGCGAATTGCTCCGCGACCGGACGGTTCCCGGGTCGGCCCGACTGAGGACCGGGGACATGCTCTCCAGATTTGGGCCTCCGTGGCTTCGTAGAAGAAATATCGTCGTTTAAGGTTGTTACTGCAACTGATTTTGGATTTGGTTTTGGTGCTGAGGTTGATCTTTTTTGCAACATGGTTTTGGTCGAAGAAGCTCTTAGCCGGCTACTACCACTGGTAGGGGTGTTGGTCTGCGAAGACATCATGTTGGTTTTCTTAGTCATGTCCAAAATCTAATTCTAATTGTTGGTTCATTTTTTAACCAAAGCAAAGCCTCCCTGAAACCGCAACAAAATCAATAGTCTTAATAAGTAAAGGCAGAGTTTTTGGATGGGGATCAGAATTGCTCAGAATAGAACAGAGCATGTAATCTCTCTCTCTCTCTATATATATATATATATATATATACATACAAAACAAAACAGACACAAAACTATTAGATTCTTATTTTGACTTAATTGATGATGTAAATCACATATCAGACATGCCTTTGCCGGTCAACGGCAAATACAGAGTACACATCAGAATTTCTTTTCTTCTTCTTTCTAAGAGAAGGTATAGAGTAATGTCATCGAAATAAATTATGAAGAAAAAAGCGAGAGTTATAATGGAATGGAAGCAATGGAAATACCTACTTTGGGATTATGGTATCTATAAGACCAAATCAGACCGTTTTTGTTGTTGTTTTTTGATTATTTTAAACTTATGCTCTAAACTTATTTAGCATTTAAATTCTTGAATGAAACAAACAACCATCTTTTGGGTACATGTAATGGGCCATTACTAGTGAAAAACACACGACTATGTAATGGTAACATTATTGATAAATGTCTCTTTCTATGAAAGAAATATCATTCAGACTTGAATGTTTGATGATGCCCTGCATTTTATGAATTTTTCTTTCCGCAATAAAGATGGAATGGAATATACATCATGTTGGTAGATATTAGGGTTAATAATTGATGGGCCCAGTCCATGACATATAATGACAAGCAGGGTATTTTATAATAGTCATGATAATGATTGCTTAATGACGACCAACTTGTGCAAAATGCAGATGGTGATTTCTCAAAAGAAAAATGATCTGCATTCACTTATTCGGCAACAATGTTAACACCCTCACATAACAACAATGTATATATTTTTTGACATGCGAGTCTTATGATGAATAACAATGCACTTTCTTAAAAGGCACAATTTAATCATGATCAGTTGCTAATTAGGAAAATAACTTTTTTTTTCCTCGGATTCATTCAAGTTATCTTTGAAGCTCAAATTCATGTATGTAAACTAATGGTAATGGACCCTTAAAGCTTTGCCCAAGGACAAGTGTGAAACTGAAACCCTTTTGAATAATACTTGTTGTTGGTGCTAGTGAATAATAATAATAATGGATTAACTTTTACAAATACACTACAAAATAGCATATTTATTATTCGGAGTTAGTGCTTCTTAATGCTGTCTTTGCAGTATTGGTTCCACCATTTAAGGCGCATTTATCTTTTGCATACATAAGAAGTACTAGACACCAAAGGAAATACCTTAAGCAATAAGATATGTTCATATTAAGATTATAATGACAAAAAAGAGATTTATTCATATCTTATCATTTAATTGGAAAATGGCCCAAAAATCATGATAATGATTAAGGCTTCGTTCATTTTATCTATTTAATTTTTAATTTCAAATTTTTATAATTAAATATCTCAAAAAATATCATATTTAACTCATTCTGTTACAGTTAAAAATTTTTAAAAAATATCACATCTCAATTTAAATTAAAAATAAACGACATAAAAACACTTTATTATGACATAAGGTGATGATGGACTCTACAGATTCTCAATGACGAGAGAGAGACCCACTCTGTTACGTGGCAATTCTAATATATTGTGATATGAGGGGATGATGGACCCTACAAATTCTCTATATTCCAGAGTGTCAAGATCAAGGTTGATGGGGTTGTTTGTGGTACAATTTCCTGTCTTATCTCCCAAGGGAAAAGGAGAATGGAAGCATAACACTTTGGCCATGGATTGGAACTAGTACTTGGTAAATAATAATAGCTGTTCCTAAGGCTAAGGGCACGGAAAGCAATGAAAGAAACAAATTATATTTGTTGTTGGGTTCTAATGGAAACTGACATATAACCGACAAATACAATAAATGAGACAGCCTGTAGTTAAGCTTGCAGCTAGGATAGGATATTTTAAGGAGGAACAGGTTCCATGGTGGCTTTGTGTGTATGTGTTTGCCAGGAGATTTATGTAGGAGAATAAAAGTGAATCACATTTTTCTTAGAGAGAAAAAAAAAAAAAAAAGCAGAGTTTTCCTGTTAGAATAAATATATGGTTACTAGGCCAAGTCAAGTGCTAATCCAAACGCATAAGCCTCAAAACAGACAAAAAGGCAAGAAAATATTCATACATAGAACTCGTTTGTTTATTACGTTTAAATTTATAATTTTAATTTTGATATAATATTTTTTTCTTATAAAAAATTAAAATTTAAATGTTAAAATTAAGAATTACCGATTTCAACGCATGAACCAAATAAAGCTATAGTCTAGATGAATCTTAGATATATTAAAATGTGATTGAAAAATATACTGAATAGCATATTTGTTAAGTACATTTGAAGTATATAGCATATTTTTAAAATGTAAGTAATAATAGCATGTTTTAAATTCTAATTATAAAAATAATTATTTTTTTTTTAAATTTACCTATGGGTTTTCATTTTTCTCTCAGATCAAGAAACTTAGCCACCCCTCTTTCTCTCTTTGTTCCAATCTCTTTCTCTCTCTGCCAGCTCTCTCATGAGTCCCTCTCTCTCTCTCTCTCTTTCTCCCCGCCTCTCTCACTTTCCCCATCACTGCCCAAATCAAACATCCAACCGGAGCTCCCCTTCGCGTTTTTAGTTCAATTCGCAACGCTATCGTCAGACATCGTTCTCTCGCCTTGCTGCCAAAGCTTGCAACTCTTTGGTTGCCACCTTCACGAATCGGCTCAGTCACCGCCGCAAATCGGGCTTCTCATTGAAGATGCATACAGACTAGATCCGTCGCAGATTAACCAGATCAGTCTGGTCACCACGGCCGTTGCTTGCTCTCTCTCTTTCCGATCTCTCTCTCTCTTCTATGCACGTCTCTCTCTCCTCGAACAGATCTCAGCTGCGACTTGAGCGACGGGCAAATTTAGTTAATCGATCAACAATCACCCATATTGCGTCATAACCTTCACTAGTTTTGGGTAATCCTACCACAAAATCTATGGTTATGTGCTCTCATTTCCATTCTAGAATATAGATCTTTTATAATTCTGCTGTTGAATACTGATGTTTTGCCTTAACTTTTTAATAGGTAAGACACTTTGATGTAACTAAGCAGCATCCTTTTTCGTATCTTAAGTTCAAAATCATCCAGATCATAATCCGGTACGTAAAGCTGACTAGAAATTTCATCCTCTTATTACTTTATTTATGAAATTTTATCAGCTAGTTATTAGAACTAGTGATAATTATAGTCTAAAGCATGCTTATCTACTTGCTCTAAAACTTCTAATGGTTCATGACATTTTAGCTTATCCTTTCATGTACCTCTTACATATATCTTGCTTCCATCAGGGTGTGCGAGAAAAGGGAAATCAATCAATTCTGACACTCTCTAGGTTTCTCATTCTCATGTTCTTGTGACCTTTGGAAATATTATGCTCTTATTTCTTAGACTTCTACTCAAATCATGATTCCTTTCAAGGATCCATGTATCTATCCATATCGAGATTCTGATTCTATAAAATCTCTTATTTAACCGTAACCTAGGATGTTAGGTTCTTAACAAGTTTCTTATAGACCTTACTATGCATTACATAACATTTATAAGCCTTATCATATTACAATACTATTAGCAGGCAAATCATTACATTTATTCACATCCTGTATCAACATATCATTCATGCTCATGTCATTCATTTTCATATTATTCATACTTTCACATCATAGAGTTGCTAAATATTTTCCTTTTGCTAGCCACTATTTCATATCATACTTATAAGTTATATGGAATTTATAATGCATACAACAAACACAATTCATAGCATTCATATACATATTCATCGTACTTTATATCATGGAATTTAGCTTTCACATCATGAAATTGCTAAATATTTTTAAAGTTAGCAATTCTTGCATATCATAGACCATTGCTGAATTGGAGACCTTACTCGGCTACAACAAGTCATATAACATTAAGTTATTTCTATCGGAAGCTTCTACTATTCATACATGAATCTTTCTTTTTATACCCAACGTATTCTTGCTCAATCGTATGGTGTGTCACACCACTAACCCCGCAATGGTACGATGTCTATCTATTTCTCTACGTTATATCTAGACCTGATATCGATGTCCTCGTTATTAGTTCTAACCAGAAGGCCTTATGTTGAAGTGCTCATTTGTGTTTCGGATAAGCGTCTTGATATCATTACCTTTGGTGGTAATCCTTTGAAGGAGACTTGTTCTTTTGTTCTTCGTTCTCACAGCAGAGTGAGGGGCGTTATTCATTCACCAACAGAATCAACTTCTGGTGAAGATCTGCTCGTATGCTGCACTTTGGTCATGAGTTAGCAATTACGTAGAAAATAACTCGCGGCTTCTTTTCTTTCCATTGCAGAGTTGCCTGAATCGTAGCTCTCTAATTGATAGAAAAACAAGAATGAAGGGTGAAAGGAGGAAAGTCCTTGCGTTAGCTCTCTTCCAAACCATTGTATGAAGCTCTATATATCCTCGTCCGGACTAGTACTCCGAGCATCATTCACCTCAAAGTGTCGGTTCACACACTTACGCAATTTCTGGTGTTTTCTTGTTCGTCTCGAAATTCAGCACCTAATTTGGCTTCCCGTGTTTTGATGCGTCCTGGCGACTGGCCTCAACATCCAACGTTGAGTAAATGCCGGGAATCGCGTTGGTATGTTGATCATCTGGCCATGTCATTAAGCATAAGGTAGTACCTATTAGCTACCATAATCTACTTAACATAAACTTAATTCGACTTACTTGGACTGTGGCAAGCAGACGCGTGATGACGTGGAGTAGGATGATAGGATATCGTGCTCTGATACAAATTGTGACGACCCTGACTTTAAGTCATCAGTACTATGTTCAGACTTAGCTCATTTCCTAACTTTTACTACTTTTGAACTATAAACTCCTAAATTTTAGATTAAGTTTTTTTTCCTGCGCGGACATAAATTTAAATTATTATTTACATACCATTGTCATTCATATGCAGTTTGCATAATAGCATCATGAGTACATGAATAAATTTTGTGACTTAAGGTTGCTAAGGGGATGTAGGCAAGTAGGTAATGGAGGCACTACGGATTTTGAAACCGCTGCTAAACACTTAATGTAATTAATATGTATGGACATTAATGGATTATGTAAAGTAAGTAAAGATCACGTGACTATGAGAGTATGCTTAGCAATCTAAAGTCACAAAGTTTATTCATGTACTCATGATGTTATTATGCAAACGGCATATAAATGACAATGATATGTAAATAATAATTTAAATTTATATCCGCGCAAGGAAAAAAAACTTAATCTAAAATTTATGAGTTTATAGTTCAAAAGTAGTAGAAATTAGGAAATGAGCTAAGTGTGAACGTAGTAATGATGACCAAAAACCATGATCGTTACAAAATAGGAGTCAGAAAACAGTCACTAAAAAATGGTCACCGGTTATCAGAATTGGTTGTCGGCTGCCAGTCTTGACCATAGTAGATTTAGTTATAATCTACTTATTTTAAAAAATATGTTATAATTTACTATTAAAAAAAATAAATGTTTAAGAGAAAAGAGTGAGTGAAAAAGAAATTTAAGAATATTTTTAAAATTTTAATAATATTTAAAACTTAAAATATTAAATTATACTATAATTTATTATTTTTTAAAAATATATTATAATTTACTAATTAATTTATCAATTATGTTATTTTCCCCTTATAATAGGATAAGCATATACAACGCATAAAAAGACTCAAAAAGCAAAAGCTCCACCGTACCATACCTAAAACGCAGTTACGCACTCAACTCAGATTAAAGCATCAAAGTGCTTTCGCGTCCTTTCCGAACCCTTTTTTCATTCTTTTGTCTTTTATTTTATTTTATTTATTTTCCTTTCTTTTGAGCCTAATGGGAAATCCTGTTGCATGTGCACGTGGACACAAAAGTAGGAAAATGTTATGCATAACGTCAGTCATTAAAATTATAATGTTATGGATTTCTGCTCCGCAAAGAATGTGAAAGAACAGAGAGAAACTTGTCACGTAGACGTGGAATGAGTGTGTAGTGTGACACGCGGCAATTGATGCTTATTATGACCAAGCAAAGCATAGCAAAGATCCTTATCCACTATGTGTGTAAACAGTAAATGCTGAGAGGTGAGACAATCATCAACAACAACATTATATACACACACACATGACATTAATGACTAGAAGACACAGGCAAGCATCAATAAAAATAGCCCAACCCGTGAACGAAACCAATGTTTGGTTTATAAATTTATAATTATAATTTAAAATTATTTTTTAATTTACATGTGTTTTATATAAAAAAAATATTATTAAATCATAAATTATAATTTAAATTATGACATAAATACACCTAAATATACTAATTAAATGCACACTTAGCCCTTTTGGTGCCACGTCATTCTCATCCATATTTTGTGAGCCCTTCCAATTTCTTTTAATGGAATCACATGTTTGACTCATGTGGGCACAGGACCACTTTGTTTGTCACGCAGGCCTAAACAGAAGGAAAGGCAGTAGAATGGATAAGAATGGAATTTTACGGCTAATCTGGATGAGAAATGAGACGTAAATTTCTAAATCTATCTAACCGTCTAAAATGAGAATGAGCTAGGGTTATGGAAAAATCCTCAATTTTATTAGAGAAAAAATACGACTCTCGTATTTAAATCTTGAATATTTAAATTCCCTTATTACAATGATTAAAGTGGTTGTTTATACTCCACAACAAACTAATAATAAAATAAAGTTAACTTAATGAACGATAATGCAGTTAAAATTAACTACTATCTAAATCTCCCTACATCAGGGGCTAACAGAAAACATAGAGAAGTCCGAGGTAAACAGGGCAAAACAGAGATAAACAGGGCAAGACAGGGCTAAACAGGGGAAAACAGAGGAAAAAAAAGAAAAAAAAAAAAACAGGTCTAAAGAAGGAAAACGAATCAAAACAAAGGGAATATTAATCTGTTTGGAAGTTGAGAATGTCTTATTAATGTGAGCTTCCAAACGGGTTTTGCATAAATGAAGGAATTGCGTATTAAAACTCCTAGCCGTAAACATCCCAAGTCTAATTATAAATTATCGACTAGGAAGTAGGAACTGAGAACTGACTGCAAAGCAGGCGTTTTTATATGTGCATGAAAGATAGACAACTGAATAATTAATATCGCTATAGGAACTCACCAAAACCGTGTCAACTTCGTCTTCTACATAGTATATGGCGTGCCTTTCAAGAGCTTTCTGGTGCAGAACAACGATGAAATGTTTTGATCTTCAACAGTTAGTTACAATTGGTTGGAAGAACCTCAAAGAGCAGACATGGAAGTGAGAGAAGAGGAGGTACTTCAACTGAACCTTTTAGTTTGAGAGCTGCCATATTCAAAAAAAAAAAAAAAGAGTAATTCTTTCTTTCTGTATAATGAGATGAAGAAATTAAGAAGTTTATATTGGTGTTACTTTTATACAAGGTGTCAGCATAAATACCAATGACCAATCACCTACTTTGAAGTGGAGTTCCCTTTGAAGGAAAACTGAAAGCTAATACATGCAAATTAAATTAATATATAATTCAAATTTTTATAAGAGCCTGTTAGTCAGTTGCAAATTCACATCACACAACGTGTCATTTGGTGATATACATGGAGAGAGAGAGAGAGAGAGAGAGAGAGAGAGAGAGAGAGAGAGAGAGAGAGAGAGAGAGAGAGAGAGAGAGGATGCCTTCTTTAAGACTTTTTTAAAAAAAATAAAAAAAATAAAGTTGATCAAATTGTCACGTGCTTACAATGAGGGCAATGACATTGATATCTTCTAGACGCTTCCTTTGGTTGGCGCCTATAACAATTAATTGTTGCTTAACGCTTGAGACAACACCTCCTTTTTATATAATAAACTCATAAAACTTGTTCATTACTTCATGAAATTCTTTGTTGGCCTCTTTTTGATTCATTATGTCATTAAGTTCTGGCCCTACTTTCTCATTTTACAAATCAAGTGCATTCGGTGAGGAAAAAATGTCTCGAGTAATAAAGTGCGCCTTTCTTTTCTCTAGTTTTGGCGATGTTTTTCCTTGTTAAGTCTTCTTTTTTACCTGCTTTATTTTGAACTCAGAATGGATACTTATGGTCCGTGAGAAATTTGTTTGGCATATTCATCACTGTGGTCCTGTTGCTAGTAGATAATTCAACATACAGTACGTTTGCAATATTGGACTACAACAAGGTTACTTTGAACTTTAGCATTACCCAAAATATTCGACTATGATGATCTAAGGAGTAAATTATACTCAGTTTTCCAATAACAACAAAAAGAAAATCTTTTGATGAGATACTTAAAAGTAGTTAAAAAGTGGTGGGGTTGCGACCTTAGTGTTAGATCATTTTGATTTCTCTTTCCCCTTTTCTTCTCAGTTTCATTTTCCCATTGCGCTTTTCAACCAAAGAAAAAGAACAAAGAACAAAAAATCAAAAAAGGACAAACAAAAATGGAAAATTAAAATGGAAATAGGTGGTGGTTCCATAATGGAAAAGGCAGTCTCCATCACCATAACATCTTCCATTATTAAAAAGAGAAAAAAAAAAGATGAATAAAAAGTTATAATTTTATAAACTTGATGCATGATGTAGCTAGGAGGTTGTCTATATGTCTATATGTCTATATGATACGAGCTTGTAAAATAAGATCATGTTCAGTACATCGATTCGAGTTTAGAATTCGAGTTTTGTTACAGTAAAAAGCTCTCAGAAACAATCACATTTAACTTTTTTGTTATAGTAAAAAGCTCTCACATAAAGTCACATCTCAACTCAAATTAAAAACTCAAATTAACGAACTAAACGGACCCAAAAATTTAGATTTGTCCTTTCTATGAAGTTTTGGTGCAATGCACAATCTATATTACAATTTACAACCTTTTTTTGTTGTTGCCTGAAATGAAAGGTCAAAGGAGGTAGTTGAAGGGGTTACTTCAGATGTACAAGAAGTTTTATTGGATTACAATATTGGTACATAATTCCCTTTATTGCCACAGGCAGCAGTTTACAACATTGCATGGAAATCATAATAATAAGGAAAATTCTATGGTAGAGCACGTTGTTTGACCCTACCGGTAGAGCAAGTGATTTTCTAGCCATTTTAGGTGTAAAAGTCAAAAATGCTTTAAGCCTAGTTTACAAATAGTTTTAAGTTGAAATAACACATTTTGTTTCGACTGTTTCCTTCATAATTGGTTAGTTTTTGTTATTTTTTAGTTTATGATTAATTTTAAAAATTCTCCCCGAATTATGAACATTTTAACACTTGTTCAGGAGTCTGTGTTTCTATGATTGTTTTGTTGAGGTTGATCTCTTCTCTGCAATTTGTGGGTCCCGCGGCACCGGAGAGTTGGAATTGCAAAAGCTTGTGAACTAGCTCCTCCATGGTCTTCTCTTTCTTTTGTTCGAACATTTTGGAGAGCATTTTTTTTAGAGCAAATGTACAGATGATATGAGAGAGTGAGAGGAATAAGAGAGAGAGAAAACGTTAAATAAGTAATATGTGGCGATTTTCATCACTTATTGTAACAGAAGGATAAAACTTATTAACGAAATAAAATTCGAAGAGAACAAAGTTCGGGAGAAATGAATGTTACTTTTCAAAATTCAAGAGAAAAAAATATTAAAATAATTATAATTCGGGGGAATTTTTGAAATTAATCTTTTAGTTTACTTTTCTACTCGTATTAGTCTCTCTTTCTTGTGATTTTCTTCTTTATATAAATAAGCATAGAAATTATCATTTCAATTCAGATCTTTGATGATTGATTAACAAGAGTGAGAGTGTTTAAAAATCTTTTCCCTGTTGTGCTTCTTCTCTTCCTCTTCTCTCTTTTGTCTCTTTCTTTAGGGTCTTGCATCAAAAGTACTCTAATTGCGTATTAGAAAATATAGAAGACACTATACTAGTAAAGTAATGGTAACCAAGTTGGGGAAAACAAAAGGAAACTAAGAGGAAGTGGTTGTATGCAGAGCTACCAAAGAAGCATAGATTCCATCCTTAATAGCCATCAAAGTTTCATGCTTCCCCTTCTCTGCAATGACTCCATTTTTCACCACAGCAATTAAATCCGCGCCCTTGATGGTGGACAGGCGGTGGGCCACCACCACGGTGGTCCGGTCCACCATAACCCGATCAAGTGCATCTTGAACCACTCGTTCCGATTCAGCATCTAGAGCACTGGTGGCTTCATCTAGGAGCAGTATTTTTGGTGTTTTCACTGTGGCTCTTGCAATTGCCACCCTCTGCTTCTGCCCTCCTGACAATTGTATACCGCGCTCTCCTACTATTGTGTCATATCCCTGCGGGAAGTTTTTCGAATTATATATATATATATATATATATATATATATATGTTACACAAATAATATTAAAATCGAGATCGAAAGGAAGAAAGGGAAAAATGAGCTTAATTAGCCAAAGGAATATGCTCTACTCTACTCGAGGCAAAGAAAAAAAGAGTTTTTGTACACTCTAGTATTACCTGTTGTAAACTACTAATGAAGTTGTGGGCGTTAGCCAACTGTGCTGCAGAGAGAATTTCAGACTCAGTGGCGTTGCCTTGCTTGCCATAAGCAATGTTGGCTCTGATTGTGTCGTTGAAGAGAACGGGCTCTTGGCTTACAAGCCCCATCTGTTGTCTGAACCACTTGAGTTGTAGGTTTTGAATTTCTATTCCATCAAGTGTGATTTTGCCTGAATCAGGGTCGTAAAACCTTTCCAGCAATGAGATCACTGTTGATTTCCCACTCCCACTTTCTCCCACCAGAGCAACCGTCTGATATACACATACATATATATATATATATATGTATATATTCATGTTCATGTAAAATTGTTAAGGATTAACTGTGGTGAGTACTACTAAATTACATATTATGTCAAAAAATGAATTTACCTTGCCGGAGTGGATAGCCAAGCAAAGATCTTGGAATATTTGGACATCAGGTCTTGTTGGGTACTTGAAACTCACATGACGAAATTCAATCTCTCCTTTCACTCTTTCTAATACAGTTCCTTTGTCATCACTTGTGTCTATCTTTGATTTTCTGTCAAGGATTGCAAACACAGAAGCAGCTGCACTCTTTGTCTTGTTTATATCTGGACTCAATGACCCTGATTGTGACACTCCTATGGCTGCCATGTTCAGCGCAAAGAACACCTGCCAAAATTCGACCGCGACGACACTCCGCAATTGAGATTATGTCATCGGAAAAATGATGAAGAAAATTCCAAGTAGAACAAGAAAACTAAATAGCAAATATTACCCGAAAAACTTCGGAGAAGCCCGCCTTGCCATCTGCGACAAGTCGGGCTCCGGCGTAGAAGGTGCAAGCATACATACTGAAAAGCATGAACAATGACAATCCAAAACCCGCACCGCTAACTAGTCCTTGCCTGATCCCCGCCTTTATAGGCCCTTCACATTTCTTCTGGTACAATTCCATCACCTTCTCTTCCGCACAAAATGAGGCCACTGTTCTGATACTTCCTACTGCATCATTTGCTATCTTACTCGCTTCCTCGTACATTTTCTGCGAACATAAAAGAATTATAATAATCTCAGCAACATTCTATTAGAAAAACAATTGTTCATCTCTGAATCCGCAAGGTGTGTTCAAATTCAAGTAACAGACCACCTTACCTTTGCATCAGCGCTGAATCCTTTCATGAACTTCATTTGAACATATCCATTTACTCCTATTAGAGGCAGCAAAACAAGGACTATAAGAGCCATTTGCCAATTTGCCTCGAAAGCAATAACCAAGCCAGCGACAGCGGTCGCAATATTCTGAACTAGCAAGCCAAGAGCATCTCCAACTAGGCCTCGAACCGACGCTGCATCAGTGGAAAGCCTCGCGCCTATTGCGCCGCTCGAGTGCTCACCTTCATCGAACCAACTTACTTCCATGTAAACCACTTTCTCAAAGCACATTGACCGCATTCGCTTTATTAACTTACAACCAGCCACAGCAAAGAAGTATCCCCTTGAAGGGCTAACCAACATAGTCGTCACACCTAGACCCACAAATACCAATGCCCAAAACTCTGAATCTTTTCTTAGCTCATGCGGCGGCTCAAAGAAGGTTTTGACTATGCCAGACAGAAGTAATCCGAAAACGGGCAATATCACGCCATTCACAGCTGCAGCTATAGTGCCAAGAAGTAGCACTGGGGCCTCGGGTTTGTTGAGAAGCGCGAGGCGGCGAAGCGAGACTTCTTGTGGAGCTTGCGGCGGCTGTGGTGGTGTTGAAGCTACAAGAGTGTTGGATTCTGCCGGCAGTGTTTCAATCGCGGTGGGGACGCCAAACGAGACAGAAAATGAATGACGGCTGCTATTGCCAGTTCCAGATGACCCTCGGCTTATAGAACGCATTGAAGAAAATCTTTGACTTGAATGCCTCCCAGAATTGACTATTAGTTCTGGTCTGTCTTGACCATTTGCACCACCTGACTGTTCTGATGCTCGGTAAATTTGTTGTAACCTTATCAGCTGGCTATATGCTCCTTCCGGATCCTTAATTAGCTCTGAATGTGGACCTGCTCAGTTGAAAAAGAATATTAGGTATTAGAACAAGAGGAAAATATATATATATATATATATATATATTTTCCTTTTGTTTTCAAAGTTACAA